GGGGGACCACAAAGAGGGGGGGAACGGAGGGGGGACGACAAAGGGGGAGGGACGGACGGGGGACCACAAAGGTGGGGGGAACGGAGGGGGGACGACAAAAGGGGAGGACGGACGGGGGACCACAAAGGGGGAGGGAACGGATGGGGGACGGCAAAAGGGGAGGGACGGATGGGGGACCACAAAGGGGGAGGGAAGGGAGGGGGGACGGCATAAGGGGAGGGACGGACGGGGGACCACAAAGGGGGAGGGAAGGGAGGGGGGACGGCAAAAGGGGAGGGACGGATGGGGGACCACACAGGGGGGGGGAGGGAGGGGGGACGACAAAGGGGGAAGGGACGGAAGGGGGACCACAAAGGTGGAGGGAAGGGAGGGGGACGGCAAAAGCGGAGGGACGGATGGGGGACCACAAAAGGTGGGGGGAACGGAGGGGGGACGGCAAAGGGGAGGAAAAGAGGGCGGACAACAAATGGGGAGGGACGTTGGGGGGAGGAACAGAGGGGGACGGCGAAGGGGGAGGAATGGAGGGGGACGACCAAGGGGGAGGGACGGAGGGAGGGGACAGCAAAGGGGAAGGAACGGAGGGGGGATAACAAAGGGGGGGGGGAACGTTTGGGGGGACGACAAAGGGGGAGGGACGGATGGGGAACCACAAAAGGAGGGGGGAACGGAGGGGGGACGACAAAGGGGGAGGGACGGAAGGGGGACCACAATGAGGGGGGGAACGGAGGGGGGACGACAAAGGGGGAAGGACGGATGGGGGACCATAAAGGGGGGGGAACGGATGGGGGAACGACAAAGGGGGAGGGACGGATGGGGGACCACAAAAGGGGGGGGGAACGGAGGGGGACGACAAAGGAAGAGGGACGGATTGGGGACCACAAAGGGGGGGGAACAGAGGGGGGACGGCAAAGGGGGAGGAACGAAGGGGGGACCACAAAGGGGGGGGAACGGAGGAGGGACGACAATGGGGGAGGGACGGATGGGGGACCACAAAGGGGGGGAGGAACGGAGGGGGGACGGAAAACGGGGAGGGACGGATGGGGGACCACAAAGGGGGGGGAACGGAGGGGGGACGACAAAGGGGAGGAAAAGAGGGGGACAACAAAGGGGGAGGACGGAAGGGGGAGGAACGGAGGGGGGACGGCGAAGGGGGAGGAATGGAGGCGGGACGACTAAGGGGGAGGGATGGAGGGAGGGGACAGCAAAGGGGGAGGAACGGAGGGGGGACGGCGAAGGGGGAGGAATGGAGGTGGGACGACTAAGGGGGAGGGATGGAGGGAGGGGACAGCAAAGGGGGAGGAACGGAGGGGGACAACAAAGGGGGGGGGGGGGACGGAGGGGGACGACAAAGGGGGAGGGACGGATGGGGGACCACAGGGGTGGGGGAACGGAGGGGGGACGACAAAAGGGGAGGGACGGACGGGGGGCCACAAAGGGGGAGGGAAGGGAGGGGGACGGCAAAAGGGGAGGGACGGATGGGGGACCACAAAGGGTGGGGGGAGGGTAGGGGGACGACAAAGGGGGAAGGGACGGAAGGGGGACCACAAAGGTGGAGGGAAGGGAGGGGGGACGGCAAAAGCGGAGGGACGGATGGGGGACCACAAAAGCGAGGGGGAACGGAGGGGGGACAGCAAAGGGGAGGAAAAGAGGGCGGACAACACAGGGGGAGGGACGTTGGGGGGAGGGACAGAGGGGGGACGGCGAAGGGGGAGGAATGGAGGGGGGACGACTTAGGGGGAGGGACGGAGGGAGGGGACAGCAAAGGGGAAGGAACGGAGGGGGATAACAAAGGGGGGGGGGAACGTTTGGGGGGACGACAAAGGGGGAGGGACGGATGGGGAACCACAAAAGGGGGGGGGGAAGGGAGGGGGGACGGCAAAACGGGGGGGACGGATGGGGGACCACAAAAGGAGGGGGGAACGGAGGGGGACGACAAAGGGGGAGGGACGGATGGGGGACCACAAAGAGGGGGGAACGGAGGGGGACGACAAAGGGGGAGGACGGATGGGGGACCACAAAGGGGGGGAGGAACGGAGGGGGGACGGAAAACGGGGAGGGACGGATGGGGGACCACAAAGGGGGGGGGAACGCAGGGGGGACGACAAAGGGGAGGAAAAGAGGGGGGACAACAAAGGGGAGGGACAGAAGGGGGAGGAACGGAGGGGGGACGGCGAAGGGGGAGGAATGGAGCGGGGACGACTAAGGGGGAGGGACGGAGGGAGGGGCCAGCAAAGGGGGAGGAACTGAGGGGGGACTACAAAGGGGGGGGGACGGAGGGGGACGACAAAAGGGGAGGGACGGATGGGGGACCACAAAGGGGGGGAACGGAGGGGGGACGACAAAAGGGGGAGGGACGGATGGGGGACGGCAAAGGGGGAGGAAGGGAGGGGGAACGGCAAGGGGGGGTGGACGGATGGGGGACCACAAAGGGGGGGGGGGACGGAGGGGGGACGGAAAACGGGGAGGGACGGATGGGGGACCACAAATGTGGGGGGAACGGAGGGGGACGACAAAGGGGAGGAAAAGAAGGGGGACAACAAAGGCGGAGGGACGGAGGGGGGAGGAACGGAGGGGGGACGGCGAAGGGGGAGGAATGGAGGCGGGACGACTAAGGGGGAGGGATGGAGGGAGGGGACAGCAAAGGGGGAGGAACGGAGGGGGACGGCGAAGGGGGAGGAATGGAGGCGGGACGACTAAGGGGGAGGGATGGAGGGAGGGGACAGCAAAGGGGAGGAATGGAGGGGGGACAACAAAGGGGGGGGGGGGACGGAGGGGGGACGACAAAGGGGGAGGGACGGATGGGGGACCACAGGGGTGGGGGAACGGAGGGGGACGACAAAAGGGGAGGGACGGATGGGGGACCACAAAGGGGGGGGAACGGAGGGGGGACAAAAAAGGGGGAGGGACGGATGGGGAACCACAAAGGGGGGGGAATGGAGGGGGGACGACAAAAGAGGGAGGCACGGATGGGGGACCACAAAGGGGGGGGGAACGGAGGGGGACGACAAAAGGGGAGGGACGGAGGGAGGGGACAGCAAAGGGGAGGAACGGAGGGGGACAAGTAAGGGGGGGGGACGGAGGGGGGACGACAAAGGGGAGGGACGGATGGGGGACCACAAAGGGGGGGGAACGGAGGGGGGACGACAAAGGGGAGGGACGGATGGGGACCACAAAGCGGGGGGGAACGGAGGGGGGACGACAAAGAAGGAGGAACGGATGGGGGACGGCAAAGGGGGAGGAAGGGAGGGGGAACGGCAAAGGGTGGGGGACGGAGGGGAGATGGCGAAGGGGGAGGAAGGGAGGGGGGACGGCAAAGGGGGGGAACGGAGGGGGGAGGGCAAAGGGAGAGGGACGGAGGGAGGGGACGGCAAAGGGGGAGGGACGGAGGGAGGGGACGACAAAGGGAGAGGGACAGATGGGGGACCACAAAGAGGGGGGGAACGTAGGGGATGATAAAGGCGCCAGCGCGAAACGCAACAGCGCGCAAGGCGCGAGCGCGAGACGCGCGAGCGCGAAACGCACCAATGCGCACGGCGCCATCGCGCAAGGCGCCAGAGCGCAAGGCGCTAGCGCGCACGGTGCTTGCGCTAAACGCGCCAGCGCGCACGGCGCTCGCGCTAAACGCGCGAGTGCGGTTGGCGCCAGCGCGAAACGCGCCAGCACGCACGACGCCAGCGCGAAACGCGCCAACGCATAGGGCGCCAGCGTGAGACGCGCCAGCGCGCACGGCAACAGAGCCAAACGCGCCAGCGCGCAAGGCTCCAGCGCGATCTAGCGTGGCTTAGGTAACAGTTAAGCATAATTAAGCGCAAGAACTAGGCCAAGTGTGTGCTAGGTCTAGGTATGATTCTAATTTACAGGAGCAAGAACAAGGGACGAGGGAAGAGGAAGAACAAGTTACTGTACGAGCGAGGGACGAGCAAGAACGAGGCATTGGCGGAAGACTCACCAACAAAACCTAGCAGGGGCGTGTTCGCCCTGTCCTTGAAAGCCATTCATTTGTAGGTCAACACCGTTACAAACGTCGAAAGAGCAATCCAAAGTGTTATTTTTATATAGAAAATTATAGCGTTTCTGAGATTATTGATGCTACAAGTTTTATCATATATCTATTTTCCCCATCAATTAAATTGAGGCATTTACAAAATAAATTTTTTTACTAAATATTCTCATAAAATGGCGCATTGAAAGATTAATTTTCAATATATACAGAAAAATGTGGATACATACGCAACCTATCCGACGATTTGCGTCGAGTCTTGTTTATGCTACATAAGAGACAAACGAGGTTTAGGGTGCCCAATCCGTGCCGAGGATCTGCACCCATCCTGCGACATCTTCACTACTAATAACTTCTTACATTGTACTATTCACCCTTTAATCTAGGGCGACCCTCGGTTGGCTCAAGCAAATAATGAAATAACGTGAGCACTTTCCTGGCTCGAACATTACGGGCCTCTACGAACTCTCACGGAGTTCGACGACAATCACAGCATAATGGTTTCAGTGCGAGGGGCGTCCTCTTCTATTTCGCCCTATGCTGCCTGTAGAACTAGACACAATCATTTGGGGTTCTCATAACCCCAAGACTCAAGCGGTGCTGTGCATGTTCGACTTGAAAGTTTCCAGGTGGTGAAAATTTCGCGATCTAGGTGTAGTATCCGCCATGGGACTGTAATGATGACTTTGGGTTCCCGCCACTGCCACCCCTTGCTCCCCCCAGCTTTATCCCCGTAGGCTCGGACTTGCGCAGTTGGGCGGACAGCAGCAGACAAGTGGCTGTGAGACGAAGGGCGCAAGGGGGGGCCTGTGCGCGGGGTTTCGCGCGCGCAAGGGGAACGAAGCGTCTCCGCCGCTGCAGCTGGCAGAAGGACTCCCCCCCCCATCCCCTCCCCCCCAACTACAGGCTTCCGCCGCGCCCCCTGTTTGCGCTTCCTGCTGCATGCAGCCTCCACCACCACGGGCTGTTTGTCGCGTCGCACTATTGAGTGCATCATAGTCTCCCGCTGGAGTGCAAAGGCCTTGCCTTACCAGGTAACTTTATTTTAGCATCTTACCTGGTAATCGCGTAGCGTCGTGCTCCGCTGTATTTGCTAAGACCTAATTGCGGTGGGTGATTGTGGGAAAGTCGGCGTTTCCATCAGTCGTTGGTCGGCATGTCGCCCTTGTCGGATGCTTCTGCATGGGTATCTCTTGCAACTGGGTAGCTTGCATCGCATCGCTCTAACTAGCAGCGACGCCGCTTGTGCGTAGTAACTCACAGCGTGGCGATCCTCGATAGGTTGGAGTTACTCCACCCAACGCAGTAGACCTAGGAGGAGCGAAGGTGGGCCTGGTTGGAGCGAATATAAAAGAGACAGCTTTGGAAGAGGAGGCGGAAGAGGAGGCGCAAGAGGAGGCGGAAGAGGAGTGTCGAATTTAGCGAGAGGAAGGTTTGTGGCGATAGGAATGCTGTCGCAGTCGTCGGCCGGCGCGCACTGGGAGGCGGAGGAAGCGGGCGCGCGGGACGCGGTAGCCGCCGGGATGTCGGGCGGCGTGACGGGAAGCGCGCCGATGCTTGCGCCGCTGTACCCGTCGATATCGATGGACGCGCAAGCCGTCGAGCTCGCGTCGTACATCCTCTTCCCGCCGCCGGGCGGCCATATGCCCTCCTCGCTGCGATCGCACGGTCCGTTCCCGCCGCCGCTTCTCTCGTTCCCGCCGCCACTTCTCTCGTTCCCGCCACCGCTTCTCTCATTCCTGTCCCCCCCCTGCGTGCTCCCCTCGCCACTAACCTTCCGGGCTTCCATTCCGCTCTCCCCTCCCCGCTTTCGCCTCTACCATTCTGGCCTTTATTTTAGCCCCGCATTTCTTCTTTCACCGCGCTCGCTCTCCCCTTCCCGCTTCTATCTCACTTCCTCCCCCCACTCCTCTCCCCCTTCTTCCCCCGCCCCTTCCCCCCCTTGTGGCTCTCCAGGCTCCGTCGAGGGGGCCTCTGCGCCCGCCGCAGCATCCGCGGCGGTGGCGCTGATGGCGAGCCAGGCGGAGGCGGAGGAGCCCCTGCTCTTCGCGGAAAGGGTTTCGGCGCAGGCGCGGGGCGGACTGGGCGCGGGAGACCCGGGGAGAGACGCCTGTCGTGCAGGCAAGGAAGGGACATCGGGGGAAGCAAGAGAAGAGAAGAGGGATGGAGGGAAGGCAGCAGGAGGAGGAGGGAGAGAAGGAGACGAAGGAGGAGGAGGAGGAGCAGGAGGGGAGGAGGGAGGAGCAGGGGGGTCGCACAGGATCGCCAGTATCAAATCGCTGCAGCTTCTGTCGTCTTCGTTTTCTCCCCCCCCCGGCAGCGCGTCTCTCCATCGCAACCTATCCCTGCACCGCCACCAGCCTGTAGCAGCGCTGCTGCAGCAGCAAGACACCCCCACCCCGCTTCATCCACCCTCCGCTGCCGCCGCCGCTGCTGCTGCTGCCACTGCTGGTTCCGCTGCTGGTCCTGCTGCTGGCGCTGCTGGTTCCGCTGCTGGTGCTGCTGCTGGCGCTGCTCACCCTGATATCGCCTCTGCCTCTGCCGCCGCTGCTGCTGGTGCTGCTGACGCAGGAGACCTGGGCGGGAGTCCTAGTGGGGCTCAAGGGGGCAGGGGGGGAGCGCAGCTAGCTAATGGTGTGGTGGGTGGGGCGGGGGAGGGAGGGGGCAGTGGGGAGGAGGGCGGAGACAGGGAGGCGGGCGGGGGAGGAGCGGTAATGCCCATGGTGGCGGGCAGAGGGGGAAACGGAGGGAGAGAGGGCGCAGGAGAAGCGGAGGCGGAGGCGGAGGCGGAGGGGGAGGGGGAGGGGGACCTGAAGGCGCTGGATCCGCCGTTTGCCCTTCCTGCTCCCCGCCCCCTGTTCCGCTTTGACTCATATGAGTTCAGCTTCTTCGGCCCCTCCGACTCTGCAGGCTCGGCAGGCGCCGTTGCCGGACCTGGCAGTCTGGTTCGGGGGCCTAGTGGCCTGGGACGGCAGCTGTCTATTAGTTGTGCGGAAAGGGTGGCGGAAAAGGGGTGGGGGATGGGGACTCTGGGGGAAGGCGCGGAGTTGGGGGAATCGGGGGAAGCAGGGGAAGAGGCTGCTGCAGGGGGGAGGGGGTTTGGGGGACAGGAGGAGCAGGCGGGGGGTATGAGAGGGGAAGAAGGGGAGGGAGGGGGAGGAGGCGAATGGGAGAAGGGGAAGGGTGGGAATGTAGCAGGAGGGGGAGGCGTTGGTGGCGGTGTGGGTGCTGATGTAAAGGCTGCTGTGAATGGTAGCAGTGAAATGGGCGGCAGTGGCATGGGGATGGGCGGCACTGGTGCTGGGATGGGCGGCAGTGGCAGCATAGCAGCGGCGTGGCGGCGGATCCTGGGGAACAAGAGCAAGGAAGGGGGGCTGTGCGATGGTGGTAACAAGCCGACTGGAAAGGGCGTCAGCATGGCCATGGGTGTGGGCACAGATATGGGCATAGGTATGGGTATGGGTATGTATAGGGGCTTAGGAGAGGGCATAGTGCGCACAGACAGCTCGTGCCTCGATGCTGTGGTGAATCCCGTAAGGCGCGTTGCCCTACAGCCTGCTGCCGCTGCCAGCGCTGCTGCTGCTGGTGATAATACCAGTGCTGCTGCAGCCACTGCGGCGGCTACAGCTCCCCCTACCACAGCTGCGGGGAGTGGCACAGAAGCCGGCATGGCTGCAGCAGCAGCAGGAGCAGCTGAAGCCGGCACCACTGCTGCTGCTGCTGCTGCTGCCACTAAGCCCTTGGATTCGCCTTTCACCTTCACCACCAAACAAAGGCGCAGCCCTACTCCCCCCCCCGCCGCCTCCCTTCTGCCCTCCCTCCCCCTCTCCTTCCGAATCCGCCCCCCCCGCCTCATCCTCCCCCCCGACCACTCCCCCCTGCACTCCCCCATGCGCCCCAGCCCCCCGCTTTCCCCCACCCCCCCGTCCCTCGCTGCTTCTGCGTCCCTCTCTCTCGCGTCCACCATCGCATGCAACACACTCCCACTCGCTGGAACCCGCCCCCCTGCTCCCACCGCCCTTCCCACGGGCCATTCCCACGCCCCCCACATCCAGGCGTGCAAGCGACTCAAGCTGTTCCCTAGCCCCACACCCAGCCCCCTCCCAAGCCCCACTGCTGCTTCCGCTGCAGCCGCCGCCGCTGCTGGTGCTGGTGCTGGTGCTGCTGCTGCTGCTGGTGCTGGTGCTGCTGCTGGTGCTGCTGCTGCTGCTGGTGCTGCTGCTGCTGGTGCTGGTGCTGGTGCTGGTGCTGGGGCCATGTCTTTCCGCCAGTCTTTCTCCTCTTCCCCTCCCCACGCCTGCTCCCCTCTTTCTGCAGGGTTAGACAGAAACTTGGTGGGGGGGGGACGGCATGGGGGGGTGGGAGTGGGGGCGAGTGCGGGGTTGTGGGGAGGCATGAGGGCGGGGAAGGGAGGGGAGGGGGGGATTGACCTAAATCAGGTGCGAATGCTGAGCCCAGCACCCCAGTTAGGGTCACCGACGCAAGTAGGGCTGCTAGGAATGGGTGCCGGAGCAGCAGCAGCAGCAGCAGCAGCAGCAGCAGCAGCAGCGGCCGCAGTAGGGGCAACTGCAGGGGGAAGGGGAGGGGAAGCGGGAGGAGGGGTAACTGGTATGCCCATGGGTCATGCGGGTTCAGGGGGTAGGGGGGATGTGCTTGGGGGAGTGGGCATGGGCATGGGCATGGGGATGGGCATGGGGATGGACATGGGCATGGGCATGGGGGAAAGGGCAGGGGGCGCAATGGAGTTGGGGGATGTGGATGTGGGGGCTGCCTTGTTGAGGCTTGTGGGGGGGAGTCTGGAGGGAGCAGGGGGAGCACTGGGCGGAGCAGGAGGAGTGTTGGGCGGAGCAGGGGGAGAGCTGGGCGGAGCAGGGGGAGCGCTGGGCGGAGCAGGGAGAGCGCTGGGCGGAGCAGAGGGGGCTCTGGGGGGAACAGGGCGGTCCCTGGGGGAAGCCGTCAGGGCGTCGGGATGGAAAGGGGGAGCGTTGGGGGCAGGAGGAGGCGGTTTAAGGGGAGGGCTGGGGGGGTTGGGAGGTTTGGGGGGTCTGGGAGGGTTGGGGGGAGAAGTGGGCAATGTGAGCTTTGGAGGTGGAGAAGGAGGTACTGGGGGAGGGGGCATGGCGGGAGGGGGCATGGCGGGAGGGGGTATGGCGGGAGGGGGTATGGCGGCAGGGGGTATGGTGGGAGGGGGTATGGCGGGAGGGGGCATGGGGGGGGGGGTTATGGCGGGAGGGGGTATGGCGGGAGAGGGTACGGCGAGAGGGGGTATGGCGGGAGAGGGTATGGCGGGAGGCGGAATGGGAGGCGGAATGGTGGGAGGGGGGCAGTTGGCAGCCCTAGTTGCGAGGGTGATGGCAGGGATGGGTGGGGGGGTGCACCCCTCAGGCTCCACAGCCCCTGCTGCTACTTCAGGGCTCTTTGGAGACGCCACTCCCAGCGGTACTACTGGCACCACGGCCCTGGCCTTCCCTGCCACCTACGCCTGTGCTGCTGGCACGGGGATGGGGTCAGCCATTGCTCCGACTGCTGCTGCGCCTGTTTCTGCTGCAACTGCTGCTGCTGCAGCTCTTGCCGTGGGTAATGTTTTGCCTAGAGGGGGGAGAGGGGTCACCCCCCCCACACGCTCACCCTCCCCCCTCCCGCTCCACCGCACCTTGCCTCTCCTTCCTCACGCCTCCTCCGCTGCTCCTGCCATTGACCCTGCCACGGGGTCTCCCGTACGGCAGACAGGCAGTGCTTCTGGGGCCGGGCTTGATGCTGCTGCTGCTGCTGCTGCCGCCTTTGGTGGTGGTGGTAGCTTGAACGGTGCGGCTAGTGTGAGCGATTTGAGCAAGAGCAACTCGCTGGACTCATTGCTGATGCTGCAACAGCAATTGCTTCAGCAGCAGCTGCAGCAGTTGCAGCAACAACAGCAACAACAACCACTGCAGCAGCAGCAGCAGGCACAGCACCAACACCAGCAGCAGCAGCAGGGGGAGCAGGCGCCTCAGCCTTTGGATTTGCTGCAGCAGCAGCGTCTGCTGCTTGAGCTGCGGCAGCAGCAGCAGCAGCAGCAGCAGCAGCATCATCAGCAGCAGTGGCAGCAGCAGCAGGCGCACAGTGCCCCTAGACAGTCTCTCAGCAGCAACTCTCTCACCACCACCACTGCCACCACCAATGGCATCGCGGCAGGCACTGCAGACAAGGCAGGGCTGTTTGGGAGAGGTAACACAAGGGGTGCGTCTCCTGTTGCTGCCGCCGCTGTTACGGCTGCCACCACTGCCGCCACTGTTTCTGGTGTCGTTGTTGCTGCTGCTGTTTCGGGCAGGGAGTCAGGTGGTGGCGTGGGTGGGAGCAGGAGTATGGTCGGTAGTGGAAGTGTGGGACGAGTGGCTGCCTGCAATGCAGCAAGCACTCTGGCAGGGGCAGGTGGGGCAGGAGTAGCAGTGGGAGGAGCAGCAGTATCAGGTGCAGTTGCAGCAGCAGAAGGAGCAAGAGCAGGAGCGGCAGCAGGAGCAGGAGCAGGAGCAATGGTGACAGCAGCAGCAGCAGCAGCAGGAAGCGGTGGTGGTGCTGCTGCTGCTGCACTGAAAGGGAGGCTAGGAGGGGCGAGAGGAGGAGGCGGTGGGTCAGGGTCGGGCCTAGAGGAGGATGGGGATGAGAGCATGGACGAGTCGGAGAGGGGGGAGGGGGGAGAGGACGAGGAGGGGGAGGGATGGGATGAGCTGGGAGTGAGGGGGGTGGGGAGGCCTGGGCCGAGAAGGAAGAGTGGGGCAGTCACCAAGCCGTGTGCCGCAGCAAGGGTGAGTGCTGGGGACAGGGAGGTGGGGGGGTGAGTGCTGGGGACAGGGGGAGGGGGGGTGAGTGCTGGGGACAGGGAGAGGGGGGGTGAGTGCTGGGGACAGGGGGAGGGGGGGTGAGTGCTGGGGGCAAGGGGATGGGGGGTGAGTGCTGGGGACAGGGGGAGAACGTGAGTGCTGGGGGCAAGGGAAGGGGGGGTGAGTGCTGGGGGCAGGGAAAGGGGGGGTGAGTGCTGGGGGCAAGGGGATGGGGGGTGAGTGTGAGGGAAGGGGGGGAGTGGGGGTTTGGGAGGAGTGGGTACGGAATGTGGCGTTCTCTGGGGTTCAGGTTGAGATGGAGGATCTAAAGAATGTGGGATAATGCGCTCCCTGTGCCCCTCTCTCCATCTGCCGTCCCTCAATCGGCTCTGCACCTTCTTGTTGTGCAGAAGCGGAGGGACCGCATATCGCGGCACATTCGCACGCTGCAGGGGCTGGTGCCGGTGACAACCAAGACAGATGCTGCGACGGTGCTGGCGCAGACCATCCGCTACGTGCGCGGCCTCGAGAGCCAAGTCGCTGTGAGTGGGGAGGGTGGAAGTTGCGTGTTTCCCAAGGCGCAAATGCAAGTGAGTGAGTGAGTGAGTGAGTGCCATCTCTTTATCCCTGTGCTGGCACAGACCATCCGCTACGTGCGCGGCCTCGAGAGCCAAGTCGCTGTGAGTGGGGAGGGTGGAAGTTGCGTGTTTCCCAAGGCGCAAATGCAAGTGAGTGAGTGAGTGAGTGCAATCTGTTTATCCCTGTGCTGGCACAGACCATCCGCTACGTGCGCTGCCTCGCGCGCCAAGTGGCTGGGAGTGGGGAAGAAGGTCCTTGGTCAGAGAAGGTCCTTGGTGAGAGAGCAGATCCTTGCAAGTCAGAAGCAAGTGAATGCGAAGGAATGCCAGCAGCATGCCCTTGAGTTTTTCCGCAGCTTCTCTATCTCTCCTCTCACCACCCTCCTGCTACCCTCCCTTATCTCCCGCTCCCCTCACGCCTCTCTACAGGCTTCCTGATCCCCTCCATGCCCCCTGCATGCCTTGGCAAGTTGGCATCCCCTCCATGCCCCCTGCATGCCTAGGCAAGTTGGCATCCCCTCCGCGCCTTTGGTTTCTGTGCAGGAGCTCAAGGCCAAAGTGGGTGCACTGGCAGGGAGCAGACCCCAGTAGCGCCAGGTAATTGAGGTGCCGAAAAAATAGCCTTGGTGTGCCCTCCGCGCCTTGCATGACCATGCAGGAGCTCAAGGCCAAAGTGGGTGCACTGGAGGGGAGCAGCTCCCAGGCAGAGTAGTGGCAGGCAGGTAAATGGCTGGTACAGCACAGAGCGGTGCTCAATGACACAACACGCATGTGCCTCCATGGACTTCCCGGAAATAAGAAGTGTACAGCTCAGGGAAATGTGACGTGATACAGACTGATCTCATGGCAGCGTGTATCCATGGGGCTCCACTGGGTCGAATCCGAGCATTGTTCCCTGTGGCTGCAAGCATGAGTGGCTGCAAGCAAGTGCAACAAGGTGGACTAGTAGCAATGTAACTTGATTCTTTATGTAGGCAAAAGAGATTACTGTGGGCGAGCAATAGTAGTAAATTCCTACAGCTGCACCCTGATGCTGCGTACGCTATCCCAGTTCATAGCACCCTGCATGATCTGTACTCCATATAACCCTGTGTAACAGCACACAACCGTCAGCAGTATAGCAAGGCGCTGCGGACTAACTGACAGTCAAGCCGTGCTACCCTATGCCTGCGTGCCTGTCTTGCTGCTGCCGATAAAGCTGTTGGACGCATGAGAGTGGGTGGCAGCAAGCCATCAGGTTTGCTTGCGGGGAAGGCGCCTGAAGTTGATGAAGGGCGCCCACAGCAGCATGCTGGCAGGATGGCGGGGGGGGTGAGCGGAGGGGGGAAGGTAGGGTGGGGCGGGGGTGTGGTGGGTTGAGGAGTGAGTTTTCAGCGGCGATGTTGAGAATGGATGCATGAAGTGGGAGTAAGTATGCAACTGCCGGGTCGAGATGCCATGGGCCATGGGTGACTCGAGCAGGGATGAAGGCAAACATGAGGTGGTACTGCCTCACAGCCCGCAGCACACAGCCCACAGCCCACAGCCCACAGCCCACAGCCCACAGCCCACAGCCCACAACCCACAGCCCACAGCCCACAGCCCACAGCCCACAGCCCACGGCCCACAGCCCACAGCCCACAGCCCACAGCCCACAGCCCACAGCCCACAGCCCACAGCCCACAGCCCACAGCCCACAGCCCACAGCCCACAGCCCACAGCCCACAGCCCACAGCCCACAGCCCACGGCCCACGCCCACAGCCCACAGCCCACAGCCCACAGCCCACAGCCCACAGCCCACAGCCCACAGCCCACAGCCCACAGCCCACAGCCCACGGCCCACAGCCCACAGCCCACAGCCCACAGCCCACAGCCCACGCCCACGCCCACAGCCCACAGCCCACAGCCCACAGCCCACAGCCCACAGCCCACAGCCCACAGCCCACAGCCCACAGCCCACAGCCCACAGCCCACAGCCCACAGCCCACAGCCCACAGCCCACAGCCCACAGCCCACAGCCCACAGCCCACAGCCCACAGCCCACAGCCCACAGCCCACAGCCCACAGCCCACAGCCCACAGCCCACAGCCCACAGCCCACAGCCCACAGCCCACAGCCCACAGCCCACAGCCCACAGCCCACAGCCACAGCCCACAGCCCACAGCCCACAGCCCACAGCCCACAGCCCACAGCCCACAGCCCACAGCCCACAGCCCACAGCCCACAGCCCACAGCCCACAGCCCACAGCCCACAGCCCACAGCCCACAGCCCACAGCCCACAGCCCACAGCCCACAGCCCACAGCCCACAGCCCACACCCCACAGCCCACAGCCCACAGCCCACAGCCCACAGCCCACAGCCCACAGCCCACAGCCCACAGCCCACAGCCCACAGCCCACAACCCACAGCCCACAGCCCACAGCCCACAGCCCACAGCCCACAGCCCACAGCCCACAGCCCACAGCCCACAGCCCACAGCCCACAGCCCACAGCCCACAGCCCACAGCCCACAGCCACAGCCCACAGCCCACAGCCCACAGCCCACAGCCCACAGCCCACAGCCCACAGCCCACAGCCCACAGCCCACAGCCCACAGCCCACAGCCCACAGCCCACAACCCACAGCCCACAGCCCACAGCCCACAGCCCACAGCCCACAGCCCACAGCCCACAGCCCACAGCCCACAGCCCACAGCCCACAGCCCACAGCCCACAGCCCACAGCCCACAGCTCACAGCCCACAACCCACAGCCCACAGCCCACAGCCCACAGCCCACAGCCCACAGCCCACAGCCCACAGCCCTGAGCACGCAGCAGGCAGCAGCGAGAGAGACTCACGCGGGGAAGAAGGCGAACATGAGGTAGTACTGGAAGAACGTCTCGAGGGTGGACCGGTTGTACCACCGCAGGCGCAGGTATGTGTACACCAGCGGCTGCAGGCAGGCGGCAAGAGACGGGGGGGTGAGGGAGGGGGGGGAGAGGAGAGAGGGGAAGAAGAGAGGGGAAAACGAGGGACCTGTCAGAGGAACCTTCTGGAGCAACGAAGACGTACTGACAGGACCAACAACAAAGCGCTGACCGGCGCAACAAACGCACGGACGGGAGCCAGACGGAGGTACGGAGAGAACTACTGCCAGAACGCGCAACAGCACTCATGGGCGCAACGAAGCGGTAGACGACGGAAGTGATGGCCCAAAATTTGAGCGACAACACGAGCTACTCGTCCAGTGACTTGTGGGACGACTTTGAAGTCACCACAGAAAGCGCTGCAGAACTCACCGGCGCGACGAAGAGGTAGACGCCAGCAGTGATGCCCCAGTAGATGAGAGTCTCCACAAACTGCTCGTCCGTCTGCCCCCCCGCCTCCGCCGCCACTGCTGGCGCTGCCAGGAGCGCGAGCTGCGGGGAGAGGGTGACGCGCGATGGAGAAGACAAAGAGACGAGCGTACGGTCCAGCGCGGTGCATAAGGATCGGAAAAGGACGACGCGACTGGGATCGCAGTAAATATTTCTTGCTGGGCTCGCTTAGTGAGTGGTTTGACTTGAAAGTCATGTCTATGGAGATCCCGCACACGGAAAGCACGAAAGCTGCTTACGAAATGGTAGGTGACGAGATCTGAGAGCAGGCGAATGAAAGAAGGGGAGCATGGGTATGCTGGCGACGACTAGAAGCGAGAACAGCTTCGATCAGGTGACCTTTGCAGCTCTGACGCTCTTTTCCGTGCGAGACTTGGCAGCTTTGACTGCCGGGCCACTGGCTGTGTCCGTGATCGTACCGGTGTTTTTACGACGTCACTGAAGTTCGCTTTTAAAGACTGATTGAACGTACCGGTGTGAGGAAGGCCGCGGCTGTGGAGGCGACTGTCGACGCGTTGACGGCGAGCTGCTGCGGGGAGAACTGCAATCAGAAGCAGCAGGACGTAGCAGGACGACGGGAGGAACATGAGAAACAGCAATGACGTGTCGACGTAACCGTGGTATGTCAGATCGAGATTTGGATGCCGAGATTATACTTTGCGAAATCAACGGCTGTGAGAATGTGCAACGGAGAACCAACGGCTGTCAGGGCCAGGACGAAGTCGGAGTTGGAGGACCGAAAAAAAAGGGGAAAAAGGGCCGAGCTGTACCTGATCGATGCTCGCTTCGGGAGCAGATTGGCTGACGAGCGAGCTTCTCAAAGGCGAAGCAACCTGTCAAGGCGTAGCGGGGAGAGGAAGAGGCCGAGAGAGATCACGAACGAGAGGCTTCGTGTCGAAGATCCCAAGTCCGTGCATTTAGAACCACCAGCAAATGGAAGCTAGGAAACTTAGGAAAAAACTAGCTCGTTTGCACATGCTGGCATTGGACATCCTAGGTCATGGCATTTCATGGCGAGTAGAGATGTTAGCCAAGGCCCACAGGCGAGTGGTCTCAAGCCAGCGTCTGACTGAGCATGGCATTTCCTAGGAGAGCTAAGGGAAGGTCGCACCTCAGGCCGGTCGCAGCTCGCACGAGCATTGACGACGACTCTGGCGACGGCTGGCGCTGGTCGTGCGAGGCGAGCTCCCGATGCGAATCTAGAGCGTGACGGCAGGGAGAGGTACGGTGTGCGGCTCGCGACCGACGCCTGCATTGTGACGGCAGCCATTGCTTCGACACCAAAGCGAGCTTCGGGTGCTAACTATGAGAGCCTAACAGCAGCAGAATAATTAGGATCACAGTCAGCAGCTCAGGTTATTATGGCGTATAAACTACGGTTAGAAGGAATGATCCACAGACCTCTTAGGAATGGTCATGAATCATGATGGAATGCACTAAGACGGGAGAAAGGGCAAGGTGCAGCAAAGCGGGAGTTTGCGTGACGAGGCAGGAGCCACGCGGCAAGATCGATGCTCTCTCAGCCACTCGATTGGATGACCCATCCACAGCCTGAAAATGCTTGGAGAGCCTTTTGGAGTGTATCCCATTCTCCTGCGGTGTATTTGCTGCTTGACGCTAGCTTTTTATCCTGTATTGTCGTTCTCTCTATCAAGGATGCTGTTTTGCCGTATCCTTGAAAGTGACGTGCCGTTGACCCATTTTCTCTGGCTGTTTTGTGCGCGAACTTCGAGTCTTGGTTGGTTGGCATCGTTGGTTCGGGTGCTACCAAACCTCAAACCTCCGCTCGTCTGAGCGCAACACGTCATCCCTATGCCGTCATCCGTGTCCTGGTTCCATAACAGCCTAACCAGCATCCGCCGAACCTCAGCCGAGCCAAAACACCAGCCATGGAACATATTCCTGTCACAGTCACTTCGGTCACCCTACTGTTTATCTGCCTTCTCTTCCCCTCAGTCTTCCCTTCTCACAGTTCAGTACAGCCTGGCACTGATGTATTGATCAAGTTGTCCATGTCCTATCCTCTCACCGGTCCTCTCATTGTTTGTCAGCAGCAGTTGATCCTTTCCTCATCCTCGTCGTAGTCCATAACCCTTGGAGTCCCTCCATCCAATGCGTATTCATCCCTCCAAAATTTCCTGGTAATGGCGGAACGCAAGCGGCAAGAACGCGGTCCTGTTGGTAGCGCCCTACCAGAACCGTCTCCTAGACCTAACCGTCCGCAGCAGACGCATTCCGGTCCTCTCGCTCCCCGTAAAAAGTCCGACCCCGGGACGAACAAGCAACCGCCTTTGCCGCCGCAGAAGGGGGATGGCCCGCCGCGAGCCAGCGTTCGAGGCGCTTTTCCTCGCTCGAGCAGCGTGGGAAGCCCCATCCTGCCGGCCGAAGAGGCGAGCGAGCCTCCGCCGATGGTTCAGCGCGCGTCGACCGGATCGCGGCAGCTCAAAGTCAACCCGGTCAACGATCCAGGTGTGGCTGAGACCGCGACGACACCCACGGGAGGTCAAGAAAAAAAGAAAGGGCTTTCGTTCCTCGGCGGTCTGAGCTTCAAAACCGCGGATAAGAGCCAGACGGCCGCATTAAGAACGTACCCCGACTTAAAGCCATGCATTGTGAAAGGTAACAAACCGCGGCGCCGGCAACGGGGCGACCCGTCGGAGCCTAGAAAGAAGGTTTCGTTCAACGAGAAGATCGAAGTCGCGGTGTGGGAGGTGGAGGAGGAGGACGTCGCGGAATCCAAATCGTCGTCCAGTAAAGGGCGCGGGTTCTTCTTATCCAAGGTGCTCACTGGCGCAGCCAGCAGTCTGCTCTCACAGGGATCGAAAAAACCGCTTCCCAAGGATCTCCCGCTTAAGATCGTGCCGAAAAAGAAGAAGGGCGAGGCTGGTAAGGGGGGGAAGGATCAGGCGGCGTCGGGTGAGGTTAAGTCGGCGAAAGCGCGCCCAGCCCCTGGTGGGAAGCGGGCTGCCCCGCCCGCCACGGGGGCCAAGCCCAAGGCTGCAGGCGGGAGGCCTGCCCCTCTTGCGCAGAGGCCGCGGCCGGCGGGCGCGGATGTGCCAGGGATGGGGGAGAGGCGGATGCGGCCGCCTCCGCCTGCCGGCAGCAGTGGCGGCGACGGCGGGCCCCGGGGGCCCCCTCGCGTTGGCGCTGGGCGCGGGCAGGCGGCAGCGGAGAGGCCGGTGGAAGGGCGGCAAAGGGATCGGGGGGAGGCGCGGGGAAGCGTGGGCGGGGCGGGTCCACGGGACGTGGCGCAGCAGGCGGGGGGTGCGCGGGACATGGCGCAGCAAGGGGGTCAGCAGCAGTGGGGCGGGAGTGGTGGAGGGATGGGCGCGCAAGGAGCGAACATGGGCGGGCAGGGGGGCATGAGCGGACAGGGGATGGGGATGATGGCAGGGCAGCCAATGGGAATGCAAGGCATGGGAGCGGGGGGGCAAGGCATAGGCATGGGCATGGGCAGCCAAGGGATGGGGATGGGGGGCCAAGGCATGGGCATGCCAGGGCAGCCCATCGGCGCGCAGTACGGTTATGATGCGAATCAGAATGCGATGGGCATGGATATGGCAGCGGGCGGAGGTTACAATCAGCAGTGGGCGGCTGCGGCGGGGAACGCGGGGGCGAACGGGGAGTGGGAGTACGAGCAGGAGGGGGAGTGGGCGGAGGGAGAAGGGGAGGAGGAGTATGAGGATGACGAGGAGGAGTTAGCGGACGAGGATGAGTATGAGGAGGAGGAGGATGAAGAGGAGGAAGAAGAGGAGGAGGAGGATGATGATGAAGAGGAGGAGGAGGAGGACGACGAAGAGGAGGAGGAAGAAGAGGAAGAGGAGGAGGAAGGGGAAGAAGGCGGTATCTGGTCGCATGCAGGGGTGGGGTACCAGCAGGGGCAGATGGGGATGCAGGGGGGGGCGATGGGCGGGGCGATGGGTATGCAGCCGCAGGGTATGCAGCAGCAGGGTATGCCTATGGTTGTCAGTCATCCCAACCAGGGATCACCCGTGCCTATGGGCTATGGGGGTCCTTCCCCCATGATGGCTGCTCCTCAGGGCTATTCCAATGCAATGCCACCGGGTTCTGGGTCTAGTTACCCTGTGTTTCAACCTCCGCGTGGTTACCCCCAGCAGGCGCAGATGGGGGGCATGGCGGATGATCTTTATGGCGGCGGGAATGGGGGTGGCGGAGGGATGTGGGGGGCGCAGATGGGGGGAATGGCGCCCCAGGGCGGGGCAATGGGGCCTGGGGAAGCATTGGGGGCGGTTGACGATGATCTGTATGGGGGCAGGGGGAGCTGGGGCGGACAGCAGGACATGGGCGGAGCGCAGAGCGGAATGCAGGGGAGCATGCAGGGGGGCATGCAGGGCGGATGGCAGGGGCAGCAAGGGGGAGGCGCAGGGGGTTGGGGGAGGCCGGGCTGGGGAGGCGGGGGAGACATGGGGGGTGCAGAGCAAGGGATGAAGCTGGAGCGGTCTCTGGCGGCTGATGACTCTCAGGAGCAAGAGCTGGACCAGGTGCGTGCATGCATGCATGCTGCTGCCATCTCTCCTCCCCCTCCCCTCCCCCCCCTCCATCCAACCAACCCCCTGGTCAATCAAACTCATGCCTTTTCTCTTTCTCCCTCCCATAAGACGCCTGACTCTCTCCCCTTCCTCTCTCTCGTCCTCTCCCTGCCCCCCAGGTGCGCCCTCTGCCCCCCGGCAAGCCTGCAGTCACGCGCAGCACAGCGTTTGTCTTTGAGGACCTTGGCCTGCAGGTGCAGCGCAAACAGCCCCCCCCCGCCGCCAACCCTAACCTGCCCGGAAATTTCCCATCCGGGCAGCCGCCGATGTGGGCGGGCAGCATGAGCACAGGCGGCATCAACACGGGCAGCGGCAGTTCCGGTGGTGGTAACGGCCCTTTGACCCCAAGTAAGATGATGATGGGGCCGGGGGCGCGGTCGCATAGAGGCATGCGGCTGCTGTCAGACGAAGTCCCTGAGATGCGGCAGAGGGCAGGGGTGCCAGGCAGGAGGGCGTCGGGAGGGGAGTATGTGGAAGGGGGGAGAGAGGTGCGAGCGCCGTCGCCCGAGGAGAGTAGGCTGAGTGAGAGGATGAGAAGGCAGGGTTTGGGAGAGGGAGGGGCGGGAGGGGGTGCGAGGGCTGGTAGTGGGAGTGGGAGTGGGAGTGGTGGGGAGAGGCAGGGGCACAGGTACTCGGGATCGACTATGAGCAATGCCAGTTCTGCTGCTGGTGGTGGTAGTGGGGGTGGGAGTAAGAGCAGGCAAGGCAAGCAGGACCAGCAGCAGCAACAGCAGCAGGGTTCTCGGGCGGAAAAGAGGCAGCCACCCACACCGCAGCAGCAGGCTGAGCAGAGGGAGAGAATAATGAAGAAGTTAGCGGGAGGCCAGCCACAGCCACAACCACAGCCTCCCGCGGAGCAGGAGCAAGGTGGTGAAAAAATGAAGAGGACAAGCACAGGCAGTAGAAGATGATATTGGGTGTTAGAAGACAGTTTTATGTCGTTTTTGTGCTTCCATATCTCGTCCTGTGGAAGATTGGTTGGAATGTGGTGCTATGTAACGGGGTTATCACTCTTAGAGGTGTAGTGATTACGATTATATGCTGGGGCTCCAGATATGCTGGAGGTCTCAGATGCTTGGCATGGAATCTTCAGTATAAGCGTATTCAGCGTTGCAGAACCTTAAGGCGGGTCCAAATAGTTCAATTGGGGGTTTTGGACAAGTTTCTACGAACTCGGGTACGACAACTGAAAACGATCCCAAAATCGTTTCCTTCCCAAACCGCGTCTCATATTGCGAATGAAACAGACGCTGGCGCCAACTGGGTGCGTCCCAAAAAACGGTTTGTGTCAGACGCCCCAAATCTCAGTTACCAAATGCCGCAGCTCGCGAAACAGATGTTTCGTGCTGGGTTAAGTGGCAGGTGTGACTTGGCGTTGCGCCACGCGAGATGTTCGCGAGGACGCCTTGTTCTCGCCAAGCCTGGCTTGGTGAAACCCCAAAGCGCCACACGTGTCCACCGACACCAAAACCTAAACCTAACGTCACCAAAACGTAAACCTAACGTCACCGAATCGTAAACAAATCATGTGCGTTCACATGCGTCGAGCGTCCCGAGTTACGTCACTTTCGCGACGAAACTCCAAACAAGGTTAAAATCGGGTTACTTTTCACGAGATGAATAGAGTATGAATTATTTGGACCCGCCCTTATTCTGGCTGCCAAAATAGCAGGATATTACGCCTTCGGAAGGTAAACTTTTGTGTGACTCAATCGAGCTGGAACCTTCGCCTAGATTCCCTCGCTTGGCAGCACCTGCCAGCAGCACAGTCCACTTCCCGCCAGAAGCTCAAGCCGCGCCACGCGCAACCCCTGCCGCCTCTTCCTTGGGTTTGTCTGGCTCGCCCCTACGCCCAAGCTTGGTCCTTTTCTCCAGGTTGGTTAGCCTTGCGCTGTTTTCCCTTGAGCTTTCCTCGAGTATCAACCCTTGGGATGCCTGCATCGTTCCTGTCTCGTTGGTACCTATTCTAATTACTACCAGACTCGGTTTTGCCGTTCCGGCCGCCGACAGCATTAGTCATACGTCGAGGGTTCCGTGATTGACAGTACACGCGGTAATGCTTAGAAACGGCTAGTCTAAAGAGAAAAGAGGCCTGACGTAGTAACATTGTCGCTCTGATCCCCTTAGTCGTCCAAGCCGAAGAGGTCAGCTACCTAACGATTTTCAGGGACCGGGATAAAGCTCGAGAGCAGTTTAGCTTCGAGGCGCCATGGACGTGACGGCAGATATTAAAGTGCTGGTGGCGATGCGAGACGACCAGCACTGCCGGGAGGCCTTAGACTGGACCATCAAGGAGTTCGGGAAGCGCAAGGATGCGAGCGTTTGCTTACTTCTCACGCATATCGTCACCGAGCTCCGCAACACAGGTGCGTTACTGTTGCGACGTATGTCGTTATTTACGAATCAGCATTAACGAGTCTTGTTCCGCGCGTCACAACCATCGTGTTCAACGATTCATTACCAGCGAGTCATTACCAGCGAGTCATTACCAGCGAGTCATTGCCAGCGAGTCATTACCAGCGAATCATTATCAACGAGTCATTACCAGCGAGTCATTACCAGCGAGTCATTACCAGCGAGTCATTACCAGCGAGTAATTACCAGCGAGTCATTACCAGCGAGTCATTATCAACGAGCCATTATTAACGAGTCATTGTCAGCGAGCCATTATTAACGAGTCTGTAGGATTCATAGCGAGTCAGTAAGTCAATACTAATGAGTCATTATCAGCAACGTTTGTAACGACATATTGCCATCAACGAGATACGTCAAATATGAGTTTTAAGCGCATCAGGTACGGTCAAGGGACGACTATCAAGGTTGCACCCCTTTCCGAACCCCTTTCCGAACCCCTTTGCGAACCCCTTTCCGAACCCCTTTCCGCGTTCCACCTTCCCTTCCTCTTCCCCTTCCCCTTCCCCTTCCCCTTCCTCTTCCCCTTCCCCTTCCCCTTCCCCTTCCCCCCTCCCCTTTACCCCCGGCCCCCCATGCTCCCCGTGTCCAGCGGGCAAGCTGGTGCGCCTAGGCGAGGCGGACAGCCCGAGCGTGGCGGTGCACATCTGCGACCGCGTGCTGCCGTACCTCGAGAGCCTGCAGGACGTCAGCGACGACGCGGGGGTGAGTGGCAGTGGCGACTTGGTATGACGGCAGGTGAAGGGCAGAGCGACTTGAGAGTGGCGGCAGGTTAAGAGCGTGAAAGGCGTGAGACACGCGTGGTGCCGTACCTGGAGAGCCTGCAGGACGTCAGCCACCACGCGGGGGTGAGCGGGCTTAGCGGCTAGGAGACGTGGGGATGAGTGGCATTGTGGACATGTGTACGAGGGTATGACGGCAGGGGAAGGGCTTGACACATGTGCGACAGCGTGCTGCCGTACCAGGAGAGCCTGCAGGACGTCAGCGACCGGGGGGGGGTGAGTGGCTTTAGATATGAGATGCAAGGGTGAGTAGCGTTGAGCTTGCTTACCCGTGCACGTGATCAATAACGAGGACAAGGGCGGCGCCATCCTCTCCTCATGCAACCCCTTGCTTACCCTTCTCACCACTCGTACTTCGCCTGCCCCATGCCGTCCCTCCGGCTCCTCTCCACGGTGCACGCGATCAAGAACGAGGACAAAGGCGGCGCCACCCTCGTGCAACCCCGTTCTTTCTTCCCTCTCCTACCCGATCCTCATGCGACCTCCTTCTTACCTCTTCCTCCTCCGCCACCCCATCCCCTCTCAGCTGCCATCCACGGTGCACGTGATCAAGAACGAGGACTAAGGCGGCGCCATCCTCGTGCGCCATTCTCTAGCTGGCCCCTCTCACCCCTTCCTCGTGCAACCCCTTCCCTGCTTACCCGCTCATCCTAACCCCCCGCACTCCGCGCGCCCAGCTGCCATCCACGGTGCACGTGATCAAGAACGAGGACAAGGGCGGCGCCATCCTCGAGGCGGCGCAGAAGCTGGAGGCGACGCACATCGTGCTGGCCAGCATCCCCAACAAGCCCATCAGCGAGTGAGTTACCGGAGCTGTGATGGTCATGGTAGCACTCATTCCCTACATGTGTATAACGCTGTCTTGTGTAGCGCCGTGCCATCCTGTCAACGAGCCACCACCATCCCCCCTACGGCTGACTCCCCGAGGTGGAAGAACATCGACGCGTGTGCCAGGGAGGAGGCTCCTACCACCTCATGCCATCATGCCATCATGCCATCATGCCATGCCAACCCCGTCCTACCAAGCACCCGCACCACCACCGTCATCACCCCCCCACGGCTGCCCCCCCCTGGCAGGTGGAAGACCATCAACGTGTGCGCCAGGGAGGAGGCTCTGCCGCCCGGCGCGTCTCTCTTCGTGGTGCAGAGCGGCAAGAAGCTCAAGACCGTGCAGAGCAAGGAACAGGCGCCCGCCAAGGTGAGCAATAGGCGCCCGCGAAGGTCAGTCGTTTTCTGCATCATCTGGTCGAGGTGCCCACCTTGCTCTCGCCCGCCAAGGTGAGAGAAGCGCAAGGAGCATGCACCCGCCAAGGAGAGAGAAGTGCAAGGAGCAGGCACCCGCCAAGGTGAGAGAAGCGCAAGGAGCATGCACCCGCCAAGGTGAGAGACGCGCAAGGAGCAGGCACCCGCCAAGGTGAGAGAAGCGCAAGGAGCATGCACCCGCCAAGGAGAGAGAAGCGCAAGGAGCAGGCACCCGCCAAGGTGAGAGAAGCGCAAGGAGCATGCACCCGCCAAGGAGAGAGAAGCGCAAGGAGCAGGCACCCGCCAAGGTGAGAGAAGCGCAAGGAGCATGCACCCGCCAAGGAGAGAGAAGCGCAAGGAGCGTGCACCCGCCAAGGAGAGAGAAGCGCAAGGAGCAGGCACCCGCCAAGGAGAGAGAAGCGCAAGGAGCAGGCACCCGCCAAGGAGAGAGAAGCGCAAGGAGCAGGCACCCGCCAAGGAGAGAGAAGCGCAAGGAGCAGGCACCCGCCAAGGAGAGAGAAGCGCAAGGAGCAGGCACCCGCCAAGGAGAGAGAAGCGCAAGGAGCAGGCACCCGCCAAGGAGAGAGAAGCGCAAGGAGCAGGCACCCGCCAAGGAGAGAGAAGCGCAAGGAGCAGGCACCCGCCAAGGAGAGAGAAGCGCAAGGAGCAGGCACCCGCCAAGGAGAGAAGCGCAAGGAGCATGCACGGCGCTGAACAAGAAGCTCCCGGACACCCAGGAGGGGGTAAGGGCTATCGCCACTTGCTTCCCCTCTTCTTCCCCCACATTCCGCCCATCCCCTTGCGCTTCCCCCCTCCACATGTCCCGCGTACCAGGCTGCCCCGCCCCCAGCGCGTGTTTTCCACGGCACGGCGCTGAACAAGAAGCTTCCGGACATCCAGGAGGGGGGGAGCGGCGCGCAGGAAGGGGGAAGTGGCGCGCAGGGGGGAGGGGACGCAGGGGAAGGGGAAGGGGAAGCCAAGGAAGCAGCAGCAGGGGGAGGCGTGGAGGGGGAGGCTGCAGGGAAGGCGGAGGGGGCTGCAGCGGAGGGGGGAGGGGAGGGAGAGGGGAAGGGCGAGGAGGGGCTGTCCGCCCTGGAGTTGGCTCGGCGGGCGTATGCTGCAAAGGCCAAAGCGGCCGGAGGGGCAGGGGGGTCAGGGGGCGTTGCTGCGGGTGGGGCAGCAGCAGCAGGAGGAGGGGGATCAGGAGGGGCGGCGGCAGCAGGGGGGGCGCCAGGAGGGGGTGTGCCGCCCAAGGACCGGCCAAGGAAGAAGAAACCCTCAGCTGGCGCCAAGGTGGGCTGTGCTGCCTGTCCTAGCTAGACGAGGTCGAACACTAGAAGAGTTTACTTTTCAGGCGTCTCAAAAGTATGCTGCTGCATCTGCTAGCGAGAGACAAGGAGCAAATTGACACATGGGAGAAGACGGGGGAGAACATTAGAAGAGCACTATTCAATCAGCCCCGCCGTGGTCATTGTCAAACGCTAGGCCTGCTTCGAGCTACGGCTGTACTCCACCCCTCCCCTCCCACCCTTCCCTCCAACCCCCCCCCCCCCCCCCCCCCAATCCCCCGCCTATCCTCCTCCTCCTCTAGCTGGCTCCGCCCTTCTCAGTGCTCACGAGTTGATTCATGCGCTCCTAATACCGTCCTCCCCTGCTGCGGCCCACCAGGCGCGCCTTGAGAAGAAGATGGCGGAGCGGGAGAGCTCCTCCGGGCACAAGTCGGCGTCGGACAAGAGCAACCCGCTGACGAGGCCACTGCAGGTGGTGGAGCCGGCGGACGGCACGCAGCGGCAGGCGTTCAAGGAGTTCACTCTTGAAGAGCTGCAGACCGCCATCGAGCACTTCTGGCCCAACCACGTGTGCGGCGAGGGGAGCTATGGCGTGGTGTACAAGGGGATGATCGACGGGCAGACGGTGGCCGTGAAGCAGCTCAAGAACCCCGATGTCAAGGCTGCTCTGGATGAGATCGACAGGGAGGTGAGTGGGGCTGTGCCGCTGTGAGCGAGTGGTTAGGGGCCTCATAGGCAGTCAGTCCGTTCCCCTGGAGCAGCTCAGGCGGTGGCTGTAAAGCAGCTCAAGAACCCCGACGTGAAGGCGGCTCTGGATGAGATCGACCGGGAGGTGCGCTGTTCATGGGGTTCAGTCCAGGTGGGGCTGACGGGAATGGATGGGAATAGCCAGAAGTTGCTTTTGAGTCGACTCAAAAGTGGGGCTGATGGGAATGGGAATAGCCAGAAGTTGCATGCATGAGGGGCTGATAGACAGGCAGGACCGTGGCAGTGAAGAAACACACCCCCTCTCCTCCCCCACCCCCCTTTCCTCCTCCCCTCTCCTTCTCCCCACCCCCTTCTTCTCCCCCTCTTCACCCCGTCTCTCCCCCCTCGCCTGTCGCCCCACAGATGGAGGTGCAGAAGCGCATCGACCACCCCAACGCGGTGCGCCTGGTGGGGTACTGCCGCGAGGACCGCTCGCTCGTCTACGAGTTCATGTCCAACGGCTCGCTCGAGGACCGCCTGCTGTGTATTGGCGGTGTGCCGCCGCTGCAGTGGCCGGAGAGGTGCCGCATCGCCATGGAGGTGAGAGATTGCGGGCTCAGGGTGCGAAGGACTCTGTGCTGGGGCCGTGCCCCAAAGCAAACGACCCTCGTCCACATGTGCGAGCCGCCGGTTGTGCACCACGACGCGAAGACCCCTCTCCCTCTCCTCACTCCCGACTTCCTTCCCCCTCTCCCCCTCCTTCCCCATATTCTCACCAGATAAGGGCAGGCCTGGAGCACCTGCACACGCGCAAGCCGCCCATAGTGCACCGCGACGTGGAGCCCTTCAGATCCCCTCTCCTGCTTCTCACTTTCCTCCCCCATCTCCCTCCAATTCCTCCTTCCTTTTCCAGGTAGCAGCGGGCCTGCAGCACCTGCACACGCGCAAGCCCCCAATCGTGCATCACGATGTGAAGCCCGCCAGCGTGCTCCTGGACGACAACTTCACCGCCAAGCTCGGCATGCTAACCGAAAATATTTGAGCAATGTGAAGCCCCCTCTCCCACTCCTCACTCCCTCCTCCCTTTCTCCCCTTTCCCCCCTCCTTCCCCTCATACCCACCAGATAGCAGCGGGCCTGCAGCACCTGCACACGCGCAAGCCCCCAATCGTGCACCGTGACGTGAAGCCCGCCAACGTGCTCCTGGACGACAACTTCACCGCAAAGCTCGGCGACGTGGGGCTGGCGCGCCTCATGGGCGACCTGGCGCCGGGCCACTCGCACGTGGTGCGCAAGTCGGTCATCGTGGGCACGGAGCACTATGTCGACCCCGAGTACCTCTGCGCCCGGAGGGGGTACCTGGGGCCGAAATCAGATGTATATTCGTTCGGGGTGGTGCTGCTGCAGATGCTGGTGGGGGAGGTGCCGAACCTGAAGCGGATCGACGCCATGGTGGAGAAGGAGGAGCTGGCTGTGGTGCTGGACCCCAGGGCTGGGGAATGGCCGCCGAACCTGGCACTCGATCTCGCGAACCTGGGGTTGTGGTGCGCGGAAATGGACCGCCGAGATCGGCCGGATCTGACAGAGGAGGTGATCCCGGCCCTGATGGACATCTGTGAGGCGGCGGCGGAGGCGGTGGTGGAGTGGGAGGCGAAGCAGGAGGCGCAGAAGGAGAAGGAGCGGGTGGAGAAAGAAGAGAAGGAGAAGGCGGAGAGGGAGGCCAAGACGAAGGCGGAGGAGGAGAAGAAGAGGCAGCAGCAGGTGGAAGCCGAGGCGGCTAAGAAGGCCAAAGAGGCAGCTGCTGGGGCGGGGTCGAGTGCTGCTGGGGCTGGGGAGAAGAAGGGAGGGGCCGCGGCAGCGCCGTCGAATGAGGCGGCCAAGGGCGGGTGCTGTTCCATTCTGTGATGGTGCTTTGTGGTGTGCTGTGGCGGTTCACGTCAAGCAATAAAAGGCTGGATATGAGGGCGCGGAACAGTGCTTCCAGCAAGCTGTTCTCTGCTCAACAGTTGAAGGGTCTGCCTTCTTAGGGAAAGAGGTGTTTAGGACCCTGGTAAGCTGGTGTAGAGCTGACTTTTAGGGTGTGCAATTTGTACATGTGCAAGAAACGCTAGGATCTGGTGCTGTCTAACGTAGTGCTACGTTGAGCGTCGATAGGGATGCTGTTGTACTCACCTAGATCCTTGTGTAGAGGTTGCCATTTTGCTTGGAATTTGTGTAGGCCCTAGGTAACCACTTAATTATCTTTGTTTGTACGGTATAAGAGCAAGGGTGTTTGTAGCGAGTTCAACGGGTGTTATAACAGCAGCGAGTTACGGTCCGTGTGACCACATCATTTACCTCCAGTCCCCACCTCTGTTGCATTTGCCCGCCATTCCGCCGCAACCATCGCCGCATCCACCGCCTTCCTCCGATCCCGCGCCTCCGCACTTCCCGCCGCTCGCCAGCTCTGCCTGCGCCCACCGCACTCCCCGCCGCCATGGCCGCCGCGCTTAACCGCCGCGGCTTTTCCCTCGCGCGCACGGCGCTCCCGCAGCTCCGCCTGCTGACGACCTCCGCGCAGCTCTCCGCGGTGGGGAAGGCGGAGGCGGCGGACGTGTCCGGCATTCCCAAGGAGCAGCTCCAGCGCAAGGTGCGGCGATAGCAGCCTCAGCGCAAGGTGCGGCGATAGCAGCCTCAGCGCAAGTTGCGGGGATAGCAGCCTCAGCACAAGGTGCGGCGATAGCGGTTCGGCTGCAGAAGGTGGATGGATGGGCGTACGCGAGGGTGCAACTAGTCGGTGTTGTGCTTGTATCAAAGACCGCGAAGTGGAGGCAGCTAGTTGTCTCAACCCAGGCCGACCCGCTCATGTCCGTCTGTAACAACCGCCTCTCTCTTCAAAAGTCTGGATCGCGTCAGCAACTCACAGGCAGTCAGGGCAAAAGCGTCAGCATACTCCCCCTCACCTCCCCCTCACCCTCCTCACTCACGCCCCCTCTCTCTTCCTTCCCGCCGTTCCGCTCCCTCCTTTGCGCGGCTGTGCTGCTGACGTGGCATCGGAGGGCCTTCAGGTGGTGGTGTTCAGTCCAGCGCGAGCGGCGTCGCAGCAGGGCATGGGGCGGCAGGGGCAGTGGAAGATCCGGTTTGATACGACCCAGAAGTGAGATTCGATTTTATACCAAGCCAACCCGAAGTGAGATTGATTTGATGCCAGCTAGAAGCGAGCTGCCTTCCGTTTCTCACCCTCGCTCCTTAAATTGTCCGTAAGGCTGCTCTGACTCTGCTGCGCATGCCTATGCATGCGCACACATGCACGCGTCATTGTGCATCTGCATGTGTCCATGGATGTGCATGTGTCCGTGGATGTGCATGTGTCCGTGGATGTGCATGTGTCCGTGGATGTGCATGTGTCCGTGGATGTGCATGTGTGTGTTCTTTATGTGCATAAATGGGCGTGTGTGTGGATGGGTGTGCACGCACGCACACGCATGTGCACTGTGTGCATGCATGTGCGTGGGAGCAGGTGGGAGAACCCGCTCATGGGGTGGACGTCAACGGCTGACCCCATGGCGTGTGTGGCCGACTCCGCGCTCTCCTTCCACTCCAAGGAGGATGCTGTTGACTTCGTTGAGCGCCACGGCTGGCAGTACCAGGTATTGGATGGAACGTGCCTGAGGGAGTCTGAGGCTGTGTGGATGTCAATGGCTCTAGCGTGCTTTGATGCCCTCGTCATTTATGTCATGTGTGTCGCATGGGTGACGAGTCTCTTCCTGTGCTCAACCTTTTGGATCCTTCTCCGCGTGTTCCATCCGTGCCTTTCAGGTCCTGGAGCCTAAGAAGCCTATTAAAAAGGTACACTACGTACATGTTTCATCTTAACCCCCGTTCTCGCTCCTATGCTTCCAGGGTCCATCGCATGCAGGTGCATGTGCTCTTCTTTTGTGGGGAAAACTAACCCATGCACTTTCACTTGCATGCACGCACGTGGCCAGGCGTGTGCTTGCTTGCATACCCGTACCCACAAACTAGCATGCAGAAGATACCTATGCACGCACACGTTCTCGCATGCGCTTACATCCGATCTCATTTTGTTGCTCTGTTTTCAAGATTAAGAGCTGGTAGTGCCTACCTACATATCTAACAATTGCCGAGTGTCTTTGTGCATTCTTCTCTCTGCCTCCCTCTCATGCAGCCCAAATCCTACGCTGACAACTTTCGTTGGAAGGGTCATGCCACCGGTGACGAGTAGATGCTTCTCAAAAGCCTTGTAAATTGCTGTTATGGGAAAAAATGCACACTATTATATGTAGGTTATGGACGTTCTCCACATTGTACGTTCACAGTGCGAATGCTGTTTCACTTCTGTAGAGGTGGCTGCAGTGAAGCGCATAGCTCTGCACACCGCACCTTTCGAAGCTCCACCGCTACAAGCACGACCGCTCCAGATGCCCCTGCGCAGGTTTTGAGGGGCAGGTTCTGGATCCTGATTGGCCACATGGCGCCTCCGAGTAATTTTCCGCGCCTCCGCAACACAAGGTTGCCCCGCTGGCGAGGGGTCTGAACTGAACTTGCCCCAGCCCCCCGCGCCTAAACCCAATGGAACAGAGGCTCTAATTTCCGCACCGCCCCCCTCTTCCCCCCGTCCTCCCTCCGGGCTCGCTAAATAGGTGCGCTAATTTAGCGCCTCGCGTCCGCCTCGCCCTTCCTGCTACTGTAGCGCCCACCTAATTCGCGCCGCCTCCCCACCTGGCCCGCCACAATAAGACCAGGTCCTAGTATCTGAGCTGAACCCAGAGGCGCGGTTTGTGTTTATCCGTAAGTGTTGCTCCGCGAAACCACGTAGGCCACGACATCTAGTAGCGCTAGCATTCCGTACAGTAGTCATTCTGTCGCTACATGGCCGCCGAGAGCCATGGCCGCCGTGAGCGCTAGGCATCCTCGAGGAACGCGGCCCGTTCGGACGCACGTGCTGGCTTGAGCCGTACCGCAACGTGTTTCAGACAGACGCTACGCGACGCGCCGGTCGCATCATGGGCCGATTAAAGCAATGCCCGTCGCGTTATCTATCACAGGCAAGGGTCACTAGTAGATTACGAGCCTCGAGTTTAGTTACGTAGTTGCTATTCGCCAATCGCAGCACCGTCAAACAGTACTCGCTGACCTAATCCGCTCATTTCACATGGCTGACGTGGCAGTGGCTGGGTCCCACTGCGCGCCGAGTCAGCGCAGTTGGGCTCGCCGTCGGCAGCAACACCTCGTTGCCGCCTCACCGCGATTCCTCCTGCGCCGCTCCCTTCCCTCCCTCCTCCTCCCGCTCCTCCTCTCCGCCCTCTACTCCCACGGCCCCCCTCAAATCTCCGCAAAGGGGCGGCCGCAGGGCGACCAGTGCGCGGCGCTGGCGGCGGCGCTGGCGGCGAGCGCGCGCGTGGTCCCCGGGACCGTCGGCGTGGGCTTCGCGACGCCGTCGCAGACGAAGCACTGCCTGCGCTCCTTCCGCTTCGTCGCGTCGCGCGACATCCCCGTTATAGACTCGATCATCAACGGACTAGCCAACTTCTACGTTTATAGACACATCGCGATTGAATCCCCCGACGCGCGCCTCCCGAGCGACGTCGACATAGTCACCTACCTCCGCGCGATTCGAGAGAAGGCGTTACGGGGCAAGGGGATTAAGAGCCTAATGCGGTTCCAGACGTTAATCTACCGCGCGCTGATGAGTCTTAACGACGGGCACACGATGTTCAGCTCCAACTGCTTCCACCGCACCGCGTCCTACTACCTCCCCCTGCCGCTCGTCGCGGTCGTCGAGGATGGCCGCCAGATCATCCGCGTCGCACCCTCGTCGCGTGAGTGCCATTATGCGCTCCGCGCTCCCCTCCCTGCCCGCTCCGCGCCTTCTTTTGCAATCCTCCTCCCCCACCCCCTCCACCTCCCCCCCCCCCCGCCTCTCCCCCCACCCCTTTCTCTTCCTGCCAACCTCAGGCCTCCCCACTGCCCCACACCCCCAAACCCCTCCTCCGCGCTTCCCCCCCCCCCTTCCTCCATCCGCATTGCCCCCTGTACTCCTGCAGCGCCTCGACGTGGCGGCGCTGGTGGACCATCAGCGCCGCCACGTCGTGCTCAATTTGACTACTACCGCTACGAAGGAGCGCAGGTGGTAACCATCAACGCCGTCCCCGCCGCCATGAACTACCTGCTTGCATGGGCCGCGCGCTATGCGGGGCAGTACCGCGAGGTCTGCTGACGCCACGCACTCCCTCCCTTCCCCACGCCCGTCCCCCCTCCCCCTGTGCGTCCCCCATCCCCCCAGTGCTGCTGCAGGGGCTGGACGTGGCGGCGCTGGTGCTGCATCAATTCGACTACTACCGCTACGAGGGCGCGCAGGTGCTGACAATCAATGCCGTCCCCGCCATGGACTACCTGCTCGCGTGGGCCGCCCGCTACGTGGGGCAGTACCGCGACAGCGGTGTGCGCTTTAATCTCCTGTTCGCGCGCCGCGTCGTGTCCAAGGCGACCGGGGAGGTGATCTCGACTCAGGGTGCGTTCGCTCAGAGGAGCCTGGCGCCCACCAATGACAGCGTGGTGGTGGAGTTGCAGCTGGCGTGAGTGATGGGGCATGGGGCACAGGGCACGGGGCATGGGGCACGGGGCATGGGTCATGGGGCATGGGCATGGGTCGTGCAACTTTATTGTTCTCCCTGCCACTCCGTTGCGCTAATGCCGCGCTGCATGCCTCCCTGCATGCCTCACTGCATGCCTCCCTGCATGCCTCACTGCATGCCTCACTGCATGCCTCCCTGCATGCCTCACTGCATGCCTCCCTGCATGCCTCACTGCATGCCTCACTGCATGCCTCACTGCATGCATGCCTCACTGCATGCCTCACTGCATGCCTCACTGCATGCCTCACTGCATGCCTCACTGCATGCCACCCTGCATGCCACCCTGCATGCCTCACTGCATGCCTCCCTGCATGCCTCACTGCATGCCTCCCTGCATGCACTGGTAACAGCACGCTCTGTCCCTCTCTCTCTCCTTCCGCCCCTCTCACCCCTGCCAGCACCAGCACCTCCCCGGTGACAGTGGCGGTGCCGTGGGTGGCGGTGCTGCCCACCAACTTCGCCACCACCGCCTCCTACTGGACCGCCAACTGCGCCAAGCCTCGCCAGGCCACTGCTGCTGCTGCTGCTGCCTCTGCTGCTGGGATTTCTGCGGCTGCTGCTTCTTCTGCTGCTGCTTCTTCTGCTGCTGCTTCTTCTGCTGCTGCTTCTTCTGCTGCTGCTTCTTCTGCTGCTGCTTCTGCTGCTGCTGCTTCTGCTGCTGCTGCTTCTTCTGCTGCTGCTTCTTCTGCTGCTGCTTCTTCTGCTGCTGCTTCTTCTGCTGCTGCTTCTTCTGCTGCTGCTTCTTCTGCTGCTGCTTCTTCTGCTGCTGCTTCTTCTGCTGCTGCTTCTTCTGCTGCTGCTGACGATGACGATTGGGGTTTACGCAGCAAGGCAGGGGGGGAGGGCATGGCAGCAGGGACAGTAGGGCCACAACAAGCAGGGGGTCCGGTACGGGGTGATGCAGGGGGAGACGGAGGGGGCAAGGGAGAGGCGCAGGAGGGGAAGTGGGGCAACGAAAGGGGCAGGTGGCGGCAGGAGTGGGCTGTTGCAGCGGATGGGGGGAGCGGGGAGGGTGATGGCGGCGTGGCGAGGGAGTGGGAAGGGGAGGGAGGGGGGGAGAGGGGGCGGAGGGGGGAGGGGAGGGTGAGGCGGCCGGGGCCGCTGTTGAGTGAGCGGCTGAAGAAGCGGGCATGGGGCGTGCGGGCATGGGGCGTGCGGGCATGGGGCACAGAAAGCACAGCGATGGAAGGTTACAGGGATGGTAACCGCAGCCGCAGTGGGGTCAGAAGTATGACTGGCGGGGGCAGCAGTAGTAGCAGCACTGGGACCCGACAACCAAGCTGGGGTCGAATGGGCGGCAGCAGGGCGGGCATGGGCGGCAGCAGCAGGGAGCGGGCGGCGGGGTGGCCGACCCTGGCTGTGGAGTTCCCAAGGCCCGACCTCGACGCTCTCCCCTCCCTGCTGCACCCCCTCCCCCGCATCCGCGCTCCCCCCCTGCTGCTCCGCCCCCGCCAACCCGCTGCTTCCGCTGCCGCTGCTGCTGCTGACTCTGGGACTGCTGGTATTGATGCTGATGGTGCTGCTGCTGCCGCTACCGCTGCTGCCAGCGAGGTGCTTGCCTTGTCAGCAGCAGCGCCGAATGACCTGGCGGGGGCGCAGAAACTGTCGAAAGCAGCGGCCCTCATTCCTGTGAGTGCAGCCGCAGCCGTGGCCGTGGCCCTTGGTGCCGTGCCGTGGCCTTTGGGGCCGTGGCCTTTGGGGCCGTGGCCTTTGGTGTCGTGGCCTTTGGTGTCGTGGCCTTTGGTGTCGTGGCCTTTGGTGTCGTGGCCTTTGGTGTCATGTCCTTTGGTGTCGTGGCCTTTGGTGTCGTGGCCTTTGGTGTCGTGGCCTTTGGTGTCGTGGCCTTTGGTGTCGTGGCCTTTGGTGTCATGTCCTTTGGTGTCGTGGCCTTTGGTGTCGTGGCCTTTGGTGTCGTGGCCTTTGGTGTCATGTCCTTTGGTGTCATGTCCTTTGCTGTCGTGGCCTTTGGTGTCGTGTCCTTTGGTGGCGTGTCCTTTGGTGCACATGGTTTGCACATGGTAACGAGCTCCCCCCTCTCTTTTCTCCTCTCCTCTTTCTCTCCCCTCCCAGGTCTATCTGCTCCCCGACAACCGCACAGCGGTCATCTGGATGCACACCTTCCTGCCAGCATTGGACGGCTCAGATGAGGCGCTCATCGCCTTCCTGCTCACAGAGATCTCCGCAGCCATTGATCTCGCCAACCGGTGAGTTGACTCTTTCCACAGCATCTCACCTGGTGCTCTCTCTCTCTCTTACCCATCGCACCAATTCCATCCCCCTCACGGCCCCCCATTCCTCCCCTCCTCCATCCCCAGCCACAGCCAGCTGTCTTGTTGGACTTGAGTGGCACCGGCGGCAGTTGCCACTCCTATTTTTGAGGCGCCTAAAAAATAGACTCCCGGCGGCAGTTGCCACTCCTGCCGCATCACCCTCCGTTTCCTCCAGCCCTTCCTCATTCCTCTCCTTCCCTCCCCCCCTCACCCTATCAGCTACGGCAAGCGGGTCATTCTGGACGTGAGTGGCAACGGCGGTGGTTACGCGGACGTGGCGTACCTGCTGCTGCGCCTGGTGGCGGGCAAGCAGCGTGCGCCCAAGGGCCGTGTGCAGATGCCGCAGCAGTTCCTCGTCTCCAGCGCCTTCATGCTCGGCTTGCTCGACCGCCAGCTGGCGTCCTTCTACCAGTGGGACAAGTACGTGAAGGTGGATGAGGCCACGCCCATGAAAAGCGCAACGGATTTCAAGCCCTTTCAGAATCTCCAGTTTTCTTCGGACGGGCAGCCCGGGGTGTACTCGGGCTTGTTCAAGCTCTCGACGTTTCCCGGGCTTGAGAAGATTCCGTTTCAGCGGCCGGTGTTCGGCAGCCGGCCATTCGTTATAGTCACAAACGGCAACTGCTTCTCGGCGTGCGCCATCTTCACGCATAACCTCCGGAAGCGGTTTGGAGTGAAGCATGTGACTGTAGGGGGGGTGATGGGTCAGCCCCTCGGTATAAGCGCGTCCTGTATGGGTGCCACGATGCCCTCCCTAGAGACGGGGGTTACTAACTTCCTAACCGGGACAAAATTTGCCGACCATCCGCGTGCACCCAAGCCGTTCCCTTACAACGTGGTGCAAGGGGTGGCGGTGGTGCAGGGGTTTGTGCAAGAGCAGGTCCCGTGCGAATATGTTTTTCTGCCCGGGGACCGACACGTTAACCTGACCATGGATAAAGTGGCCAACCCTGCCCTTGTGTGGGCAGAGGCCTCCCAATACTTCTGAGGCATTCCAAACTGATTGCCCAATAAGAAAGCTGATGCCTGCAAGGTTCAATGCGTGCAAGGGCATTCTATTGTATTGGGTTGGGGTGTCAACTTATACATTTGTAATGTATGTCTAGTTATAGGCTAGACAGGTACGTGCTCTTAGGGAGTACAACCCACAACTTATAGCACTCTGTATGCCCTTGCTTAGTCCACTTTGCTACTCTGAGATGGTATCACGCTAGGTAGGTCCCACCCACCCGCGCTTCCGCCCTAGCCCACCGTAGCCTACCCCGACCTAGCCCGCCGTGCCGCGCTGCCCTAGTCTGCCGCGCAGCACAGCCCTATTCCGCCGCGCCGGGCTGCCCTAGACCGCCGCGCTGGCCCCGTCACGCCGCCTTCGCCCCGTCACGCCGCGCTGGCTCCGTCCCACCGCTCTGCCCTAGTCTTCCCGCGCCGCCCTAGCCTGCCGTGACGGCCTCAGCTCGCCGTGCGGCCCTGTCTCGCCGCGACGGCCCCTGCTAGCCGTGGCCCCGCGCTTCCGCCCTAGTCCCTAGCTCGCCGCTGGCCCCTAGCTCGCCCGCTGGCCCCTACCTCGCCCGCTGGCCCCTAGCTCGCCGCTGGCCCTTCGTGCGCCGCGCGAGCCCTAGCCCGCAGGCCCCTAGCTCGTCCGCTGGCCCCTAGCTCGCCACTGGCCCTTCACGCTCCGCACGAGCCCTAGCCCGCTAGCCCCTGGCTCGTCGTTGGCCCTTCACGCGCCACGCGAGCCCTAGCCCGCAGGCCCCTAGCTCACCGCTGGCCCTTCGCGCGCCACACGAGCCCTAGCGCGCTGGCCTCACCTCGTTGGCCCCAGTGTGCGCCGGCCCCAATTCGCACCGGCCCCAGTTCGAGCCGGCCCTAGTTCGAGCCGACCCTGCGCGCCACCGCCCCGCCGCCGGACTCTGCTTGCCGAGCCGCGCCACCCCAACTCGTCGTGCCGCAGTGCCGCTCTGCCGCCATCCCGCAGTGTCGCTGTGCCACCGTGCCGCCGTGTCGCCGTGCCGCCGTGCTGCAATAGTCGAGGTGATGGCGGACGCTATGCTCCGCCTGGATGCAGAGGGTCGGGCGGTAGACTTCGAGGCGTGGATCGCCGAACTCCGTCGCCAACTGAAGGGTCAGCGCCAGGTGGGCTAGTCCCTGGCCGTCCACGTCGACGGTAAGCTCCCCTGCCCCGACCCGCCTGCTGTCTTCCTTAACGCCCCCATGCCTGCTGAGCGTGAGGTCTTCACCGCTATTGAGCTCGCCCGCTCTGTCTAGGAGTCGCACGACGCAGTTGTGCAATTTGCTATCAGTCACACCCTCCCCGTGTCCGAGCGTCCCCGCTTTCAGACTGTAGAGACTTCGAAGGAGTACCTAGATGTCATCATTGCGCGCCATTCCACTCCCTCCTCTGCCTCTGTTGGCCGTCTCCTTCTTCCCCTGCTCTTCCCTGATCTTGTGTCCTTCCCCACTGTCGCTGATCGTGCCAATCACCTGCGCACACTCGAGACTAGCTACCGCGCTGCTAGCACTGAGGCCCAGCTCACTGTACTGCCTCCCCCCCTCGGCGCTACCCTCTACTTCCTTGCTACGCGCCTTCCTGACTGCCTTGCCACTGCCCGCAACCACTTCCTTTCTCTCCACCCCACTGACCTCACCCATACTGTCTTTGTCACCGCCCTGTCCACGATAGAGACCCGCCAACGCACAATCGCCCAATCTAGCGGTACTGCGCCAGTCCCTATCGTCCAGAGTGGTGCTCCCTCCCAGTGTACTTACTCTGACGTTTCTGTCATTGTCGCTGAGACAGCCCCTGCTGCTACGGCCTCAGCGCAGCCTCGTCAGGGTAAGGCCCGCCGCCTCAGGAGGGGAGCGTGACGGAGGGAGGGTTGATGGAGGTGGTGGAAGTGGTGCGAGTACCGGTGGTAAAGACGAGGGGGCCGAGGCTGATGCCCCGGAGCAGCAGCAGCAGCAGCAGTCACAGCAGCAGCAGCAGCAGCAGACGCAGCAGCAGCAGCGGTGGGGACCACTGCCGCCATGGTGGCCTGGCGGCTTTGGTGGCATCGGCCGTGGTGGCAGCTCGAGCAGATTGGCGTCAGGTACAGGCTCAGGTGAGGTGACTTGTCAGTACCAGCTTCAGACTGGCCCCCGTCGCGGCACCGTGTGCGACCGTCCCCGATCACACCGCCGCCCGCTGCTACTGCCACCTCGACGACCTCTTCCGTCTCCGTTTCGGATCCGCGCCGAACCTCCCCGAATGGCACAGCCGGGTACGTTGTCGTGTGCCAGTCTATGAGATGGATATGGATAAGATTAGGTCTGCTTTGTATGTCATGTATGCTGATGAAACTAGTATGACTAGACCTTATTACCCTGTGCCTACTATATCTCTCCGCCAGCTGACGTTACCGCCGCGCTCTCCTTCACGCTGGACTCTGGTGCGTCCGCCTGCTCCTTCCGCGACCACACTGCGCTCACGTCGCTTGCCGCCCTTGCAGCTGTCGTGCTTGCTGACCCCTCCTCAGGTCCGGTAGTTGCTCGTAGCTCCACCACCCTTCCCTGTCCGGCGGTTCCCTCGGGCTCCTTAACGGGCTTGCACATCCCCTCGTTCTCCAAGAACCTAGTTAGTGCTGGTTCTCTTCAAGACCTCGGCATCACCACTACGTTCCCTGGACACGAACGGTACTTAGTCTGTACCGAGGCCGCCACTGGTGCCCCCCTCACCACGTTCCCCTGGGACCCGGTGTCTAGCCTGTTCACGCTGGACACCGCGTCCCCCCTGGTGGAAGCGTCCTCTCAGGTGGCGGCGCCTACTCATGTCGCTACGGCTTGTTCGTGTCGGTCGCTCACTTACCCGTCGCTTCTGTGGCACCACCGTCTAGGTCACCATGCACTCCCGCGTCTCCGTCACATGTTACAGCATGGTCTTCTCTTAGGTTTCCCTGCATCACTCCTTGCCCTCCCTCCCTCGTCCGCGCCTCCGTGCACGCCTTGCGTCGAGGGCTGGCTGCGCCGTGCTCCTCACTCCTTCTCGTTTCCCCCCACCTGTAAGAGTACGACCACGTTACACTTCTTTCTCATTTCCAACTTTTTCCTCTACCTCATTCTTCTAATTTTCCTAATTCCTTTGATCTTTATCTCATCTCATTTGGTTTCCTATTCCTCCTTTCTCATTATCCTTTGGGTTCTCCTATTATTATTATTATATCCCGACCAGGCTCGGGATGTACTGGCGCGCTATATATAGCGTAATCTTGCAATAATCCCTTAAAGCCAATAGCCTCGCGTGGCTATACGCAGGGTGATTCTATTTCTAGAAGGGTCTATTCCCTTTGGATAGGATAAACCTAGTTACCTGATGTACTTCGGAAGTATAAAAGCGCCTTGTATCAATCGATAGTGCAACTTTTCCTCGACACATTTGATCCTGTGACACTTGGTAATCAAAGCTTTTCTCACTCAACCGCGCTCAGCTAAGCAGAAGCAGCGGGAAAACCTGCTTCGAAAAACTGCAGGGGGCGACTAATTCGGCGCCGATTCTGGTAAGCACCAGCTCCGCGTTTTTGAATTAACCCCTCTGCGCGTGTTTTGAACATGATGGCGAACTTCGACAACGCCGAGGTTACCTAGCAGCTCTTCGCGAGCATCGCCGCCCTTCAGGAGGAGATGCGAGCCGATCGCAAAGCTTGGCGAAACGAGTTCGAGTGAGTAACTCGGCTCGCCGGCGCGCAGCACGACACGACAACGGCGACGATGCAGCAGTCGCAACAATTTCTCGAGGCTCCGAAACCACGCCCACCTGAGCCGTTCGATCCGAGCGATCGAAATTCCGACGCCCGCAGATGGATCGCCGGCATGGAGATCTACTTCGCAGCCGTCGAATGGAGCTCCCCAGTCTGGGACGGTCAACGCGTACGACTCGCGGCGACACTGATGCGAGGACCGGCACTTGAGTGGATCGGCGGTAACAGTACCTTCATCCACGGCGAAGCCACGTGGCAGCAGTTCCGCACCGACCTGCTGAAACGCTTCGACCCGATAAATTCGGGTTTCCTTGCTTGGGAAAAACTTCATCGCCATCGACAGTTCGGGAGTGTAGCGCAGTACACGCAACAGACGGATGAATTTTATAACCACATTCCTGACCTGACCGAAGGAGAAAAAGTACAGTCGTATCTCGCCGGGCCGAAGACCGAAGTCAAACGACAGGTAGCAGCGACAAATTACGCAAGCTACAGTGACGTCGTTTCGGCAGCAGAGCGGTTTGACATGGTCAACGCCGGAACACGAGGGGCGCACGTCGGCAGTACGCGACAGGGCGACCGCTCGGCTCACCCCATGTTCGTCGACCCGATGGAAATCGACAGCTTCGACGGGCGGTCACGTCCGAAAAACACCAACTACACGTGTGATTTTTGCGGGGTGCCGGGCCATCGAATCTTCGACTGCATCAAAATGAAAGCCGCACGAGCAGAGTATCGGGCACGCAACAGTGGCGGAAATTCTTCGGCCAATCAGAAGACAAAAAACGGAATTCGCCAGTGATTGCAGATCTAGCTGACGAAAAGGAAATGATCCGAAAGCCGCCGCGGAAATATCGACTTCAACGAAGATGATTCGATGCGAGCAGGAGGAAATGATGGGGAAAATTCTCCACCCCACGACCAGTCTTCGCCAGAGAAAATCGCCGAGAAAAAATCTGACTCCGCGAAAAAGGACTCTGCCGAGATGGGGAAACTCCGAGAAGACCCAAGAAATTATAAGGATTCGTTAAAGTTATCTTATAAAGATGCTTTAATGAAAACTTATGATTCTCGAGGGGCTAGAGCCTTGGAGAAATTTCGGGAGGGACTTCAGAAGAAGCAGAAACTTGTGGAGATCATACCGGTAGCGGAAAACTTGGGGACGCAATTAAGGAGTGTGGAAAGAAGCCGACCTTTCCACGGAGTCAACGTCCTCTCCTAACACCAGCCATAACGACAACCCGTTCCCCAGGGAAGACGTCGTTGGAGCTGAAGCAGCTCAAGAGGAAGCTGGGGGTCTACAAGAAGCTGCAAAAATCCCGAACTCCTCCTTCGGATGCATCCAGCTCAGCAAATTCGGCATCAACGACACACACAGTCGTCAAGAAAGCTCAGGGTCCTGAGGGAGAGACTTTCTCCAAGCAGCCTCGGCCAGCTGCTAACCCACGAGCAGATAGCAAGAAAAATGTGTCTGCGGAATATTGCAAAGTACCTAATGATCCCATTAACAAAACTATCTTTGGGTACTCCGAGCAATGCCTGCCCCTCGTGCTCGAGGTCATCTGCAAAGGACGACGCCTCCAAGCACTCGTGGACAGCAAAGCATCACACACCATCTGCGACAAGGCAGTAATCGACCAACTTCGGGAAGAGTACAAGCCTTCTGTATTCTCTGGAGCGATGGTGGACGACAGCAAGTTACCAGTACACAGCGAAGCAGTGTTACACCTTCAAATCGGACCACTGCACTGGAAACCTGCACTCCCCATGACCAACAAAAAAGGGCTTGACTTGATCTTCGGGCGAGACTTCCTAAAAAGATTCAACCCCGAGATCAACTGGGTAAATCGTACCGCAAGCATCTACAACAATGGAAGGAGAGTCCAGCTACCCAACTGAGACAATACAGGAGATATCCCAGTGGAGACACTCGCACAATTCGAGAAGGACGTAAAGCGAACCGAAACCGGGTTTCTGGCGATAGCAACACTTGTGGAAAACGACAAGGAGAAAACCTCGGAACCTCCACAAAAAATCAAGGAATTTCTGAAGGAGTTCCAAGACATTCTTCTTGACGACCTTCCGAACGAGCTGCCGGCATAGCGAACACACCAACACGAGATCGTGGAAGAACCAAGTTCCAAGCCGACCTTCCGAGCACCATATCGGCTCAGCCCCACGGAGCTAGCCGACATGAAGAAACAGATCGAGTATCTCCTCGCAAAAGGACTCATCCGACCACTTCACCATACGGTGCCCCAGTACTCTTCACACCAAAACCAGACGGAAGCGTGCGCATGTGCATCGATTACCGAGCTCTCAACAAGCAGACCATCAAGAACAAATACCCAATACCACAAATCGATGACCTACTTGACCAGCTTCGGGGAGCCACGGTATTTTCCAAAGTGGATCTGCGGTCCGGATACTGGCAAATACGAATGGCAGAAATTTCCATCCACAAAACTACTTTCCGCACTCGGTACGGGTCGTACGAGTATCTGGTAATGCCGTTCGGACTCACCAACGCACCGGCAACGTTCCAAGCTGAAATGAACCATATTCTATGCCCACTCTTGGACGAATGCGTGGTGGTGTACCTGGTCGACATCCTCATCTACTCGCACAACATACAGCAGCACGTCCAACACCTGCGACGTGCCTTCGACATTCTTCGACGAGAACGATTCTACGTCAAGTTATCCAAGAGCAAATTCGCCCTTGAGAAAGTCCAATTCCTAGGACACATGGTGAGCGCTCATGGAGTTTACGTCGACCCCAAGAATATCGAAGCCGTACGCACGTGGAAGACACCCGAGAACGTGAAGGAGTTGCAGCAGTTCCTAGGCTTCGCTAACTATTACAACAGGTTCGTGCCACAGTACGCGAAAATCGCAACACCACTCACGAATCTGCTGAAGAAGAACATGCCCTATAAGTGGGAACCAAAACATCAGGAAGCCGTGGAGCAGCTGAAACAAGCACTCACGTCCACACCCGTACTCATCTTGCCAGACCCCGAACGCGACTACGTCATCGAAGCTGATGCTAGTGACCAGGCAGCGGGAGCAGTCTTGATGCAAGTCCAGGGGAATGGACTGCAACCAATCGCCTACATCAGCAAGAAACTACACGGGGCAGAACTAAACTACCTGATACACGACAAAGAGGCCCTTGCTCTTATCATCGCCTTCAAGACGTAGAGATGTTATCTCGAAGGACGAAAACAACCGTCTACACTGACCACTGCAGCCTGAAATATTTGAAGACACAACCAAACCTCTCCAGGCGGCAGGTCCGGTGGATTGACTTCCCCGAGACACACTTCCACTACGACATCGTGTACAAGCCCGGCCACAAAAACAAAGCAGACGCTCTCAGTCGACCTGCACACGTTGCCGCAATCCAGGTCGAAGGGATGAACCCTCTTCTCAAGGGACTCTTCACACACGAGTACGCCATCGACCCCGAAATTCCTTTGGAAGCAAAACGACACTTGCTACAATGAGACAGTGACATCGCATACCGAAAGGGATCAACGAAAATCTGGTACCCAATTACCCTCCTTTACGCCTGTTACTACTCGAAGAATACCACGATGTCCTATACGCGGGACACTTCGGTAGCAACAAAGCGCTCACCGGTATTGCAAAGCACTATTACTGGCCCCACATGGCAGACGACATCCAGAAATTCGTCACCTTTTGTACGGATGAAGATCAGCAAACAGAAACAGGCAGGACTGCTACAGCCTCTTCCTGTCCCAGAACAGCCATGGCAAGTGGTTAGCCTAGATTTCATAACCGGGTTACCAACTACCACAAGCGGTCATGACGCAATCCTCGTCGTCATCGACAAATTCTCCAAAATGGGACACTTCATCCCGACACACATGATAGCACGCACCGAAGAGACAGCACAACTATTCATTCGCTACATCATCTCACAACATGGCATTCCAACCACACTCATCTCCGACCGAGACCCCAAGTTCACCAGCAAGTTTTGGAAGGAACTGATGCTCTGTTCGGGACCAAACTCGCCATGTCATCCGCCTACCATCCGCGGACAGATGGACAGACCGAGCGCCTCAACCAAATTGTAGAGCAGCTCCTCCGCGCAGCATGCAAAGACGAAATCTCTAAATGAGACTTGCATCTGCCTGTCCTGGAGTTTGCCTACAACAACGCCACTCACGCCGCTACTAGACAGACACCGTTCTTCCTCTGTTACGGACGCCACCCGCTCACGCCACAAAAACCAACAGCATCAGCTACAGTCCAACCCGCACACGACTTCATCACGACCATGCATCAGCTTTGGGATCGGACCCACAAGCGCCTCCTCGACATTCAGCAGCAACAGAAGCGCCAGGCCGATCGCCACCGCACTGACCACACCATCACCGTGGTAGACCTGGTTCTACTCGACACCCGCAATATCAACATCAGTCATCTCCCATCCAAACTGCGACCTCGCTTCTGCGGGCCCTTTCTCGTTGAAGCACAGGTCACTCATGTTACCTTTCGCTTACGCCTGCCAGCTACCTGGAAGATTCACAACACCTTACATGTCCAGCTTCTGAAGCCATATCGAGATCCTAACACGGTCTTCGCCGGACGCCAACCCCCGCCGCCGCCGTCCGTCCTCATCCACGATGAACCCGAGTACGAGGTCGATACCGTGCTCGCACACCGCCGTCGTCGGAATGGCACCATGGTGCTTCTCATTCGTTGGAAGGGTTATGATCCTTCTGAGGATAGTTGGGTTCCTGACTCCGAGATGGGTAACACTTGTCGTCCTCTTCGCGAATACCTTGTCAAGCAGGGTGTTACTTCTACCACCCAGTTTTGAGGGGGGGAAGTATGCGAGTATGACCCCGTTACACCTCTTTCTCATTTCCATCTTTTTCCTCTACCTCATTCTTCTAATTATCCTAATTCCTTTTATCTTAATCTCATCCCATTTGGTTTCCTATTCCTCCTTTCTCATTATCCTTTGGGTTATCCTATTATTATTATTATATCACCGACCAGGCTCGGGATGTACTGGCGCGCTATATCTAGCGTAATCTTGTTGTAATCCCTTCAAGCCAATAGCCTCGCGTGGCTATACGCAGGGTGATTCTATTTCTAGAAATGTATATTCCCTTTGGATAGGATAAACCTGGTCACCTGATGTACTTCGAAAGTATAAAAGCGCTTTGTATCAATCGATAGTGCAAATTTTCCTCGACACATTCGATCCTGTGACACCACCATTGTGTCACTTCAGACCCTGCACCTGGACGTCTAGGGCCTAGCCCTCGTCCCTGGGCCGCGTCGCGAGCGCTACTTTCTGGTGCTCATAGACCACTACACGCACTACACCACGGTGTTTCTCTTGGAGCAGAAGGCCGACGTGCTTGACGCTCTTATCCCGTGGCTTGTCGCTGCACGTGTCCATCGCGCCCTGCCAGTGCTCCGTCTCCACTCTGACCGTGGCAGTGAGTTTGCCCCCGGTCGGCTTGGCCAGTTCTGTCGTGCAGAGGGCATCACCTAGTAGTACACCCTACCGGACTCCCTGCAGCTCAATGGGGTCGCTGAGCGATGCATCGCTTTCTTCATGGAAGTGGCTCGTACCTCCATGATCCATGCCGGTACACCCCATTTTCTGTGCCCGTTCGCTATGTTGCTCACCAGATTAACATGTGGCCACATTCCCAGCGGCCGCAGGTTTCGCTGACCGTTCTCTGGATTGGGTCCCCTTGTGACGCGTCTGCGTTCCATGTCAGGGGGTGCCCCTCTCATGTTCGTGCCTCTTGCACGGATAGGCTCACTGCTCGCACTGTCCCTTGTGTCTTCCATGGCTTCCCCCTCGACACGTCTGACTAGCACTTTTACCACTCACCGTCTCACCGCTTATTTCATTCACGTGACGTCACCTTTGATGAGTCTATCTCCTTCTACACCGGCTTTCCCCACCGAGGTCTCCCCTTTATCTTGTCCCCACTCCCCCGGTAGCTTCTGCTCCCCTCCCTCCCCGTCCTGCCTAGTCTGGTGTGTCTCACGTTACTCTCCTTCCCTTGGTTGCCCCCTCGGACAAGTCGGCTGACTCTGGGGGCCGTGCGGCTCAGTGTTTGCCGCCTGTCTCTACCCCGGTGTCTCCTCCACCACTGCACAGCAGCAGCCACCGTTGCAGCCGCAGCAGCAATAACCGCCGCCGCAGCCACAGGGGTCCGCAAGCTCTCCTTGTGCGGGTGCTGAGGAGGGTGCTGGTCCTGGGGGTGCTGGTCCTGGGGGTGCTAGTCCTGGGGGTACTATCGTGGCTTGTCCCGGCGGTCCTGGGGGTGGCACCAGTGTTGGAGGGGGTTCTCGTTTTGGGGGTGCTGTCATGGAGGAACCCGGGGGTAGGCGTGGTACAGCTTAAGGCTCTGGTGTCGGCGTGGAGCAGCAGCTGCAGTCGTTGCCAGTGTCCGCTCTTCGCCTCCTCGGTCTTCCCTCCCCCAACTGCCAGCCCACGCCTCCCCCCGCGTCGCCTCTTCCGTCTGTCTACAACCCTGTGTTACCTCCGTCGGACTCGTCCCCGGCTCGTTTCCCCTCTCGTTCTCCTCCTGTGTCTCCTGACCCGACGCCTCTCTCCCACTTCTGGTCTCACCGTCCATCTCATGCTCGTCCTGTCTCCCCGGTTCAGCGTTCTCACCCTATGTTGCTCTGTTCTCACGCGTCACTTGCTCCTCTTCTCCCGTCGCCTCCTCTGTCTTCCCTTGTTGTCTCTCTGCCTCCTCTCTCCGACTATCTCCGTGTTGTAGTCCCCTTGTTCCTCGGGTCCTCGCCTCTCTTGTTACCGACCCTCCATTCGTGTCTCCAGTCTTGACGCTCTAGTCCCTGCTGCCATTGTACAAGCTAGTTTTCCTGTTTGAGGCCTCTCCTCATCTCTGCTCTATGCTGCTAGGCCCTGAGGGTGACCCAGACGCTCTTGACATCCCGACCTCTTGCACCTATGCTGAGGCGACCTCAGGACCCTGGGCCTCTCAGTGAATAGCTACCATGGACGAGCAGATGGCATCTTGGAGATCCACCGACGCCTACGTCGATGCAGTTCCCCCACCTGGGGTGAATGTAGTCGATGGCCGGTGGCTCTTCAAGCGCCTTCCTGGAGAGCCGCCGGTGTTCAAGACGTGCTACGGTGCTAGAGGCTTCAGTCAGCGTGAGGGTGTTGACTTCTTTCAGACCTTTGCCTCGACCCCGAAGATGACTACTCTTTGGGCGCTGCTTCACGTAGCAGCCCAGCGCGACTACGAGCTGCACTCCCCCGACTTCCCCACAACATTTCTCCAAGGCAGTTTGCACGAGCAGGTCTACCTGCACCGTCCGTCAGGCTTTGCTGGCACCTTCGCCCCTAGGACCGAGTGGCTCCTCCGGCGTCCGGTTTACGGCCTGCGGAAGGCACCCCGTAAGTGGCATGCCATGCTGCGTGCTACGTTAACAGACCTGCAGTTCTTCCCATCCTCTGCTAACCCATCACTCTTCGTTTACCCAGGCCAGACTCCGTTCAACATCCTAGTCTACGTAGACGACATGGTCTTCGCTACTGCAGACAGAGACGCATTGGCCTCGGTAAAGGCTGAGTTGTTAAGGAGACATACCTGCACTGGCCTAGGAGAGCAGTGCCGCTACCTTGGCATCTAGATCTCCAGGAAGAGAGCAGCGCGCACCATCACTCTCACACACTCACACTTGGTGCACCAGGTCCTTCAGAGGCTCGGTCTTCAGTTCTCCACCGCACAACCTACACCCCTGCCAGTAGATTACAGGCTCTCGGCTCAAGTCCTTAACGAGTTGGTAAAGCTCAGTGGTCCCTACGCAGAGCTTGTGGGTTGCCTCATGTACCTGATGACTTGCACTTGTCCAGATCTCGCATACCCTCTCAGCATCCTGGCTCGCTTTGTGGCCACCGGCAGACACCGACCACAGCACTGGTCGGCAGCTAAGAGGGTTTTGCGTTATCTAGCAAGTACATCGGGCATGGGGCTAGTGCTAGGAGGACGCAGGCCGGTGTTCCTTACATGGGACATAGACGCTTCGTGGGCACACTACGCTGAGACGCTCTGGTCCTCTCAGGGCTACTGGTTTAGCCTTGATGCAGGCACCATCTCGTGAAGGTCCACTCGCTCGTCGTCTGTTGCGCAGTCTAGTTGTGAGGCTGAGATCTATGCTGGTGCCATGGCGGCACAGGAGCTCCGCTGGCTGACGTTCTTGCTCACAGACTTAGGTGAGCAGCCTAGCTCTGCCCCGATCCTGTACGCTGACAACAGGGCCATGATCCTCCTTTGCCAGGAGCCTCGATTAGAGGGCAGAGCGAAGCACATCCAGCTGCGGTACTTCCTCATGCGCGAGCTACAACAGCGCCGCCAGGCCCGCGTAGTACTCTTGGCCTCTGGTGCCAACACAGCTGGTATCTCTACTAAGGCGCTTGCGCCTAAAGATCATCAGCGGCACTGTGTACAGCTTGGTCTAGTTCCAGTAGCTCCTCACTTGCTAGGACCCTGATTGTGTACTACTCCTTATACCGTAATCCCCCGTATATAACACCCTAGGGTATTGTCAAAATTTCATCAAAATAATGTATGGGTGTTAACAGTAGGCTGGAAAAATATAACGCCCATGTCTTATGTAAAATGCAAAATGAATTTGGGTTGTAACACGCACTCTGAGGCCAGAACTTCACCGAGCATCGGCTAACGAGGAATCTGCTACAGAGATTGCGTACTCTGACAGTGTCAGTTTGGTGCCTCTGAAAATGGTGGGAGATTGATGTAGCAGCAGTGCTAGGTGTCATTGACCAATCTCGTATGAGTGCTGTGAATAGAGTCACGACCATTGCTGATGCGATCGAGGTGGTTCAACAGCACGATGGACGGTCGAGATCCTCTCGACACTTTTTGTCATTCGATTTCATTTTGCCATTTGTATTGATTATTCTGCCCGTCTTTGCGCTGCGAATGGCAGCTGACGCGATTTTCATCCTGCTCGTTTTTTTGCAGCTGAGCGAACCTTGGTAATGAAGTACCGAATACTATTTAAAGGCAAGAAAAACGAGCAGGGTGTTATGTAAAAAGCACACCCAGAAAAGCGGGTACTCTAAAA